TTCTTTCGTAACTACACTTGACCTGTAACTATCAGATGGCGGCCATTTTGGATATGACCAATATGACCAGTATGGCAGCCCCAAGGAGATCTTAAATTGATGAAAGAATATCATAATCAGATTCTCTGACCCCCAAAACCCCATAAATATATAAACTATTATCATGCAACCACTTTTCCTTTTGGAACTACGCTTGACCTTTAACTCAGATGGCGGCCATTTTGGATTTGCCCAATATGGCATAACCAGAGGGTGCCCTTCTTGGCGTCCGGAAGAAATCGTAAAAGTATGGTATAATCTACCTCTGGGCCAAATTTGGTGCTTTTAGAAGAATCTGCACCAAACAACCCATATTTAGCCCTAACAGCCTCCACTATATGTGTGGACTAGAGTACGGACATTCGGTGCGGCAGGCGGACTATTGGTGCGAGACCTCTTCCGCACGGATTGTCCGTCAGACATTTGAGGCGCGCACGGAATGTCCGACACGGACATTCTGCGCGGATAAAATCCGCACCGATCGTCCGCTCTCGATAGATCTCTAATAGTCGGACGATCGGTGCGGGTTACATTCTACGCGGTCACACAGGCGCACAATCTCTCTTACTACTGTAGCTATGGCAGACAGTAAATAAGTTGTAAAAGTGAATCCACATTGAAATATAGGCTACATGTACTATTGCAGAAGGGAGGCCTGCTGGGAGCTAGGAGGGCATTAGCCCTATGTAGAACTGTATGAGCTTTGGATGTATTACCCTTCTGGCTCTCACCAGATCAAATTTTTCTCCTCTGGACTTTTTACTTCCATAATATCAAACGTAGGATGTACATGTACCTACTTTAGATTGGCTATGTTTACTGCTTTGATAGGTATGTGAACTCTGGTGTCAACATCTGAAATAAAGTCTGTACCTAAAGACTAGTCATATATCATAATAGATGGCAATGGAATAGAATGTAAAAACTTGAATTGTATACAGGGGCTACAATTGACCTGGTTTGATCTATTTCCATTTACATTCAGCCAGACACCATTGTAATAGTCTTTGTTTCTTTGTTTCTATTTCCATGCTTCATTTACATTCAGCCATGCAGACACCATTATGACAGTCTAATTTGTATCTACCGGTATTTCCTTGCTTTATTTAGGCCATGTAAAAAAATATACATGTTTAGCGTCCCCGCCCGCTTCCTTTTTAGGGGCCACTTTTTTTTTTTTTTAAATTGAATTTTTTTTTTTTTTTTTTTTTTTTAAAGAAAAAAAACATGAAAAACACTGCTAAAATGGATCTATTTCTGATTTAAAAAAAAAAAAAAAAATGTCGGCGGCCATCTTGAAAAATAGCCCGACTCAGGGAAAATGTACCGAGCAGCCATTTTGAGCGGCCATTTTGAAAGAAAAAAAAAAGGGCCTCCTCCTTCCTATTTTTCGAAAAAAGAGGACGCTAAACATGTTTGTTTTTTATTTGGCCTTACATTGAGCCATGCCAGACACCATTATAACAGTCTGTGTATCCATTTCCATGCTTCATTTACCTTCAGCCAGACACCATTAATATAACAGTCTTTGTTAAAAATTGCCATACAGGTGCCAATCATGGTCACTATGAACATGACAGACAATGAAAGCGGACAAAATTACAGTTCCTCAGGTAGACAAAGGAACATCCCTTCACTGCTATTATGTAAAAATGTGTAGAACAGGTGAATATGCATGTGACACCTGTTCTACACATTTTTACATAATAGCAGTGAAGGGATGTCCCTTTGTCTACCTGAGGAACTGTATATTTTGTTCGCTTTCATTGTCTGTCATGTTCATAGTGGGTGCCACCATGAATATTACATTGTGATTGTACATATAAAGTGGAACTTGTAATGTTATATAAGTCTGCATATTCAGCTACGTTTGATGCTGTGAATGATCACTTAAGGGCCTATCTCACTGAGCAGCGAATGCTTGCGAACGTAGCGAATTTGGGGTTTCGCCAGAGTTTGTAAAATGTTGTAAAAGGTTGCAAGAAAGATCGCAAACAGTTTTCTTTGTTGTAAACAGTTTTTCTTGTCGCAAAGAAATTTTGAACATGTTAAAAATTTATGACATTTATCCAAATATTGTATACATGTACATCTCTCGAGTCTCGATATAACAGTGACAAATGGTAGGTAGGGTACCAGAGAGCACCATTTTTCAGTGGTCACACCAAGAGAATTGTTCATTTTTGGATGAAATATGTGTCAAAAAAAGACATACCGGTAGGTCTTGTGGGACTCCTTGCCTGTAATCGACCTTTGATGAACTTGTACTATATAACAATGTACCCTTGATTATAGCAAGCACAAGCACAAGCACAAGTTTAAGTACTGTAGGCTGATTGTACATGTAGGACACCATCTTGACCTGTGCAGGAGTCAAGCTTTTGTATAATAAGATCTTTGTTGTTGCAGTTAAGTTGAAATTTGAAAAATACAGGGGAAATTCCCATCGCCAGAACATTTCCATTCATCACAGAAGTATTATTAGGTCATGTCTGTGATCCCTTACGGAGCCTTTCTTCTTTGCTTAATAGGAATTTCATTGGGAATATATGCAGGAGAGTGAAAGCCTTTTTTTCTTTTTTCAAGTTTATAAAAAGATTGTTTTTCATCATTGTGTAAAACTACATGGTGAGGATCAAGTGACCCATAAACATTGAACTTGGCATAATTCTATTCACCATTGATGTGATATTTGTAGTCTTTGGAAAGATTGAATGATAGTTGTAACTTGTTTTTAATCTGGCTCCCTCATAAAAATATCGTTGATTCTTTGATAGGAATCTATTGTTGGAAAGGTCAATTTTTGTTAAGAATAGTATCACAATTTTCCATCTTTGCCCAGCCCATGGTGAATACATGTAGCAGATATTTTGTATAAATCAGATTATTTACAAGAATGCCATTTATTTAATTGCTTTATAGTTCATAACAAATGGGATTACAAAGTATGAATTGAGAAGACTACACCAATCTTTTTACTGTCAAGAAAATGGTAGATTCTCTGCCAGGTTCTGTAATCAAGTTATCTCATCCTTTTTTTTTCTTCTTCATATACGATGTACATGCACTCTATTATTGACCTCTCTTTAGTATGTTGAATAAATCTAGCTATCTGATTGGACGAAATTGGAGTTGTGATTTTAGCCATGCCCGTAAAGAAATGAACGATTGCCCGGGTAACGGGCCGCATAGTTAAATTTTGCTGAGATCTCCATTGGTTTACGTGTAAATAGTTTCTTTGTGCGAGCGCAGATACCATACAGTGTGTGTGCAATTTTCTGAATGATCGTAACATTCAGGCAACTTTCCAACGAAGATCAACTGACAGGGGTCTCAGATTTTCTGTGATGTTTAAACCAATCTTTACTCAAGAAAAGGATAAGGCAAGAATTCTTTGTAGATTTTTTTGTAAATTCGGTATATAAAAGATGTATGGACTGCTTTAATATTCGAGGCATAGCTGTTTCTATACTTGCTCTCGGGGCTGTCGCGGCGCGCTTCGGGGTCATAGCAGGATGTAACGTCCCCTTGAGCCTATATAAACAGCTAAGCCTCTCATAGCAGTCAATATTGTGATCATATTTCAGCAGATGTATTGTCACTATTTTTTAAAAACATATATTGGGCTATGTGTACGTACAGCTGTGTGTACATTTGTGTGCATACTGTACACACTTACAGTACGCTATATACAGTTTACAACTAAAATATTCATACCCTTCCAAGTTTTGTAATTTTGTAAGTAAGCTATGCGAAAACTTGATTTGTCCCAATATATCTTTCTTGAGAATGTGACATACATGTATTAACGCTTTAAAACCATACATCTGAAAAAATGCAACCATGCAGTCCGCCATTCATTTTTGAATTAAGAAAAACACAAAAAATATCAAATATATATATATATAGGTATTGTCCATGCTTTTGAATACCGGTAATCGCAATAGGGTCTGATATTGCAGACTACTCATTACTGAAGGTCATATGAGTTATAAAGGACAGCAACGCTGACCGGAATACATATTCAATTGATGATGGGATTACAAACCTGTGGTGACTTTGTCTGATTTGTATTAAAAAACTACCGTAAATCTCTGTGTATAAGGCGCACTTTTTTGCCGCCGAAAAAAATTGAAAGTCGGGGGTGTGTCTTATACATAGATTTTTTTTTTTTTTTTTTTTTTAGTTTCAATTTATGGTGCTATGCCTGGCAAAGTCTCCCAGCTCAGTAATCAGTATGTTGACTCACCACTCGGAAACTACAACAACACTCAAATTCGTCTGTCATCTTGGTTTGACAGTAATCTTTCTAATAGATCTCAATATGTAGTATATAATATAATTCCTCAAATTTTTTTCTATAACAAATGGTGTACCACAAGGTTCTATCCTAGGTACTCTATTGTTTTTAATTTACATTAATGATCTTACACATTGTTCTAAAAACGACATTGTTACTATTATTTGTGACAAGTTCACAAGTACAAATCAGCGCCTTCAACTGCACTTCGATGTTAAATGAAGGTCCTTCCCCGCATGGGTTTTCGGCAACAAAACAACATCAACAACAAAACAAAAATAACAAAACTATTTTTATTTTTTTATTTTTGTTTTTGCCCCCAAAATAGGGGTGCGCCTTATACACAGGTGCGCCTTATACACAGAGATTTACGGTACTCAGAATAGGAACATACTATTGATGTGCTCCAGTGCCTATGGTTTGTTAAATTTGCTTTAAGCTGTATTATGAGGCAGGCTGGGTGTATACAAGCATTTCATTCCAGACTTTAACTATGGGGGATGTACGATTGTGCTGTTAGTAATTGCTATATCAAACACAAATCATGGATGTTTACTCTTCAGCACAGATGACTGCTGTGGAGAAGAAAAAAAAGAGAGATAAGTAAATGAAATGTTGTTCTCTAATCCAGTGCACTTTTTTCGTTTCTATTTATATGCAGAGCTTTGTTAAGATGCTGCCCTGAAACCTGTGACCCGCAAATCTGAAGATGGTCTGGTCTATGAGATCTCTTTGGTCCGGTGAACACTGAACAGTGGTTCTTGAGAAGGAGGTGATACACTTGGTGACTTTGATGCTCTTCCAGTTTCCAACCATACAATAGTGATTGCCCGTGACTGGTGATAAGTAGACTATAACCCCATCAGGTGTTAGTTGGTGTCCAAGTGTTCGCCTGGATGGTTTGTCCTACATAAGTAATCTGTTGCTGCATCTGTTTGAGGATAAGGTTCACCAGTGTACTATCCAGGAGAGAGGTATTTCTTCAAGGTGCCTAGTTCTACCACCTGGCGTTAGCGGTAAGATTGTGAGTACTGACTTTGTAGAGATAGAGAAATAGGGCTTATCTTAATTACAAAGCTAATAGATGTACGATAAATAGAAATTTATGAGTAAGTTGTTTTTAGGTTAACCATGTACTGCAAATTGGGGTGACTGTACTGCACATCAGTGTATCAAGGTAAAACATGATATTTGTAGGGCCTACATATAGTACATGTAGATGTACTTTTGAGCCAAACTATCCTGTTCAGAGATTTTATGCATGACAACCCATTGACAGAAATGCGTCTACCTTGCTGTTCATTTAAATTTGAATTCAGGATTTTTAAAGAGGTAATGGACAAATAAACTCCACTTCAGTTTATTTTGTCACTTGTACCTCTGCTTTATTCCACTTGCTCTTGCGCTATATAATAGTGACAAGACTTAAAATTTAACAATAGGATACAGTGTACCATCCCATTCCCAGTAACTTTTCTCTTTGAGCATTTTACGGTCCATAGGTTCAGTGGTGGATCCTGGAAAGGGTGAAGCTGGCAATAATGCCACCCTTCTATTTTCCATTGTATGGCCCAGATCAATACAACTTTCGGTAATACATTTTGCTACCCCTTCCCTGCCCCCCCCCCCCCTTATGTGGCAGATATTTTTCCCTTTTCAGTCTCCTGCATTTGCTTTAAAGCCCCTCTGTACTAGTTTGGCCAGAAGGGATTAGACCACCCAATGTGGTCACTGACAGGTGGCAATCTCATTAACTAAGCTCTCAATTAACATAAGAAAAAGAGGACCATTGGGGACCAATGGTCACTGCTTAAGCATTGTTTTCTACATAGAGGGAGCAAGTAGCTTCAAGTAGTACAGTGGGGCTTTAAAAGACAGATCCTCAGTCCCATGATATTCAAGGTTGTCAGTAGAATTATAAAACACCATAGACTAGTTTCTCACGCTTCCATTAGCAGATGCAATTTATCTCGCATTTCCCATCATTATCTAACACCCGATGTCAATATCTTTTGAGGTATAGATTATTGGAGAGAAAAATCAATTTTTACTAAACTTTGCCTTTTTGTGGAACATTTGGCTTTTGTTTGCGGCTTGACGCCAGATGGGTAATCTGTCTGCTGTTTGAACATGTTCTTGGTTTTGTAATCATGGTTTTGCAACCAAAGCATTACATGTATATAAGCTCTTGTTTTTCAAAGCTCATGTTCGCTTTTTTTTATTTTATTTTTTTATTTATTTTTTAAATTTATTTAACCACGGTTAAAACACCTGCTATCAGCCATAAGGCTGTTTTTCAGGAAGTCTTGGTTTTGTAATATTAGGTAAAAGTACATAGTTTTGCCAAGAAATATGGTTCAAAAATGCAATGCCTATATGATGTTAGAAATTGTATAAACCCTGTTAAATCTTCTGGAAGAAACAACTTTTGACTTTCTTAATTCCAAAATGTTGATATGGTGAGATCAAGCAACCAATATTTTGGAATTTTTATGAAAAAAACACAGAACTGTCACAATTTTTTTTCTTCAACATAATTTCCCATACCCAAATCTAACAGGTACATTAACTACTTTCACAGAAATGTATTCCCAAGCAACTGTTTTGCTTGCCAAAGTTGTCCTCTGATCAGGTTGTCACCATTTTTTTCTCAGAAATGCTTGAAAAGGATTTAATATCTTCTGTATTCCATACATGTATACAGTGAGCAAACTGTGCCTGCTACATGGATTAGACAAAGATCAATGGTTTAATGGCAAATGAAAGCAATGTGGCAAATGTTGACAAATTCTGACAAATTATTTTATTCTCACTAATTGTTTTATTCTCAGAAATGCTTGAAAATGATTTAATGCCTTGATGCATCATATTCAAAGCTACCCAACTCTGTCATTCCACTTATCAATTAGACCAGGACAAGCTGAAGTACAGTACATGTATGTACTGACAAAAGGAAGTCAGCAATACCTCAAAATTTGACCAATGATGACAGCTTTCATCCAATTATGTAATTCTTAGAAATGCTTAAAATGGATTGGATACTGATGGCAATTCGAAGGTACCTAGATATAGCTGCATGCAATATGGATCAGAGAAAGACAACTGATCTAATTACAAAATAATACAAGTTGGGATAACAACTACTATCTGTCATCTCGTTATATTTAAAGTACTGTACAAGATGTAGCAGTTTGCCGCGTGCTAGCAGCATTCTGTATGTGCATGACCCCTGCTAATGTAAATGTACCACATTGTACTACTTTATTGCTTTTTGATTTGGTATGAGTTTTTGTTGTCTCCACTCCGTTCTTCAGTGCCTTCATTCTATTTTTGTTTTGGAAAATTCACGGAGATGATTAATTAAGGAATTTGCAGGTGTGGGGGGGGGGGAGAAAGTGGTGATCAGGGCGGAAAGGGAGAGAGAGAAAGAGAGAGAGAAAGAAAGAAAGAAAGAAAGAAAGAAAGAAAGAAAGAAAGTAGGAGCTAGAGCAAGATAGGAAGACATGATCAGAAAGAGAGAAAATAGATAAAAGAGATAGGGAGAGGGAGAGACAGTGATATAAAGGGTGGGGGGAGGGGGGGGGAGGGTGTTGTAGTGAAGATTGAGATTGCATCTTTCACATCATTTCTAATACCATGTGTCGCATGCGTGGATGCAAGGGTATGTGAAGCATCATTGTAGAAACGAGATCACCCTAGCTGCACTATCCTCGGCAACTGAAAAAAGGCATGCACAAAAGCATGCAGCAGCATATACACTGCGATACTGTACGCTGCTGCTGTGTATCGCCAGCAAGCATCGCGCAAGCTTTTGATTGAATTATGAATTGAGATGAGCTGCGTGTGACAAAGCAAGGCTCTTTCAGCGAAGGAAGGAGAAGTGGGAGGAAGGAACGAGGGACAGATATAAAGCCGCCTTGAGTTACGAGATTCTCGCTTCTTGTACATGTACATGTGTCTACTGTATATATGCTAATGCTTATCGATCGAGGAGTCTTAAAGGTACATGTACCAGTGACGTAGATGTACTCTAACAGTACTATAGTAGACCTTAATGATGTACATGTTTATGGGGTGTATTCTTGATTTATTTCCATTTTTATGTGAATCAAATTTAATTCATAAGGAATTTTTTTTTTTTTAAGTTAAACAAAAATTAAAGTGAAAATTATTTTCTTAGGATTTTCCTTCCACGTTTTTCCATGTGGCCTGTAAGCTGGCATACATTTAAGGCCTACAACTTATATCTTTTTTGTAGAGTGGACAGAATTGTGTTTTTGAAACCCTGTCCGAAACCCTTAAAAGTCCTTATATTTGTGTCGTGATTCGCCAAGTTGAATCATGCTTCATTTTGACCGAGAATGCATGCATTTATGAATTTGTTTTCTTTTGTAATAACAATACTTCCAACTGAATAGGCAGACAACGTTATGATCCTTGAAACACTGAAGCACAGCTACCATAATGATATGCATTCTGCTCTTCGGCTGTACTATTGATTATCTCATTTCAAATGGGAAACTGTGTCTCTTGTTATGCATGCAGGTTGAGTGAGAATAGAAAAACACAGCCCTGGGAAAGATGTTCAGTATTGTGTTACACATGTGTGTGTCTTCCTCCCTCCCTCCCTATCATACACACTATAGATCTACATGTACATCGATCGAAACATTCAATTCATGTTTTAATTAAAAGACATGATTAGCTTTCTAAAATGCTGATATGACGGAGGGAGGGAGGAGAGGATATGATATGATTAACACTATTTTTTAATGATATAAATGTTAACACATTTGTAAATGTAATGCAAGAATACTTCTAAAGTAAATGTTTATTACTTTATTTGTGGGGCATTTATTTTTATGCCTCCGCCACCGAAGGTGGTGCCGGAGGCATCATGTTTTCGGGTTGTCCGTCCGTACGTCCGTCCGTCCGTACGTCCGTCCGTCCGTCCGTCCGTCTGTCCGTCCGTACGTCCCGTTTGACCGTTATCACAATATCTCAAGAACCATTTAAGATTTAAACTTAAGACTCGGGAATAGTATTTATCACCATAGGAAGACGATCTGATTAGATTTTGGAGTACGTAGGTCAAAGGTCACAGGTCACAGAGGTCAACTTCTGAAATTCCTTGTATTGAGTTTGTTAGCGCGATATCTCAAGAACCATATGAGATTTAAACTTCAAACTTAAGGATAGTATGTATCACCATAGGAAGACGATCTGATTAGATTTTGGAGCACGTATGTCAAAGGTCAAGGGTCACAGAGGTCAACTTATGAAATTCCATACATTGAGATTGTTATCATGATATCTCAAGAACCACTGGAGATTTAAACTTCAAACTTAATGATAGTGTGTATCACTATAGGAAAACAATCTGATTAGATTTTGGAGCACGTATGTCAAAGGTCAAGGGTCACAGAGGTCAACTTATGAAATTCCATACATTGAGATTGTTATCATGATATCTCAAGAACCACGGGAGATTTAAACTTCAAACTTAGTGATAGTGTGTATCACCATAGGAAGACGATCTGATTAGATTTTGGAGCACGTAGGTCAAAGGTCAAGGGTCACAGAGGTCAACTTATGAAATTCCATACATTGAGATTGTTATCATAATATCTCAAGAACCACTGGAGATTTAAACTTCAAACTTAATGATAGTGTGTATCACCATAGGAAGACAATCTGATTAGATTTTGGAGCACGTAGGTCAAAGGTCAAAGGCCACAGCGCACATTATGAATGCAAAACAGCTTGTGATCGCGTTATCTCAAGAACCGATTGATGGATTCATGCCAAAATTAGGTCATGTTTGTTACTTGCAGAGCCAATGAACTGAGTAGATTCTTGGTTCATAAGGTCAAAGGTCAAAGGTCATGGGCCCATTATGTATGCAAAAATAGCTTGTGAACGCATTCTCATTAGAACTGACAGATGGATTACTATTTAACTCAGAACATCTTGCAGAGCCAATGAACTGAGTAGATTTTATGGTCATGAGGTCAAAGATCAAAGGGTCATATATGTATATGAGAAATTGCTTGTAATCACAATATTCTGAGAACCTGTCAATGGATTACCATTGAACGTGAATTCAATTTTTTTTTTCTGTTTTGGTTTGTAAAATTGCTCTATAACGGAGGCATCATTTTCGACTGCGCGCAGTCGAATTCCATCTAGTTTTAAGATTAATTAATTTGGTAAATGTACATAACATAATGTATAAGGCTCTTTTCCCTCTAACCAGAAAGACATGAATTTTAGCTCCAATATCCCTGTTCTTATGATACCACAAGGCCCCATAAAAGCATAATAATAATAATAATAATAATAATCTTTTAAAGTCCACTTCAAATTTTATTAAGTTAAACCAAAATGGAAATTCTTTTTGCCCAATTGATCGTGAGCCTGGCAGCCACTGAGCATACCCTCCTATTAAAGAAATAGCCAAGTGCTGCCAAAGATTTTGATCCAGTATGTCTGTATCTTATTGATACATGTACGTTTAGATATTGAGGGCTGCTTTAAATGGTAGCAAAGACCTTCATAGAAAAAATATAAGACGATTTCATTAGCCATGCCATCCACCTATTGAAATGTGCAAACATGACAGTGACATACAATACATAATCTAGCTCAACATGACTTCTGTTATCGGGTAATGAACTTCTCCGTTAGCTGCTATCCTGAAAACTTTTTGATCATGTTCATTGAACAGTCAATCAAATTTCCTCAATTGACTAGTGATGTCTGGACTGTACATGTAGTTAGCTCATGAATACAATGGATCGTATAAATGTACACGTACTGTTCATTGAATGGAAAACACATTAATATCCATACACTGCACATTACTACATCATGTGAATTTTTTTTATATCTGTGACCCGCCTGCTTAAACTAGATTTTAACAAATATAACACAAATAGAATTTATCTAGGGTAATTGCTCTCTCAATTTGAAATAATTTTTGAAATTTATTCCTTGGTTACGATGGTACTCTCAAAAATAATGACGACCTTGCCAGGGGCAATGACAGAGAAATTCCCTCTTGATTGTGCTTCCACAACAGAATAATAGAATCATCTAACTACTGTTATATTTTTGAAGCTCGATTAACTTTGGAGAATACACTGTTTTGAAAAGTGTTTACCGTAACCACGTCCAGTGTCAGGAAACATGCTTGATTGATTAACATGACATTTAGGCTTGCTTTATGTAACTAGTTGAATACATTTAATGTTTGAATCTACTGTTTCTCAGTACTATATTCATAAGTGTATGTACCGGTATCTAAATTATACCCCATATTGTGTTTTTTGTTGTTGTTCTTGATTTTCTTGTTCTTGTTCTTGTTCTTGTTCTGTGTCTTCTTCTTCTCCTCCTCCTTCTTCTTCTTCCTCTCCTCTCCTCTTCTCAATTTTACTACCCGAGCCCGAGGCCTAATGAAATTATTGATGAAGAAGCTTGTGATGGATTTTTTAGCTGGCCAGTGGTTGGTTTTTTATAATTATTTATAGTACTTAATGATCGAAGTGGGATAATATATTCTTTGGTTGTGGTGTGCTACTAATGTAAAGATTCATATATGCTAATCTGTCCAGTATCAGGGTGGAAAGATTGACTGATTCTTCTTCCTCTTTTTCTTCTGTTTCTTCTTTTTCTTCTTCTTCCTCTTGTTCTTCTTTTTTTCCTTCTTCTCCTCCGCCTCCTCCTCCTCCATCTCCATCTTCTCCACCTCCTCCTCCCCCTTCTTCTTCTTCTTCTTTTTCCTCTCTTCTCTTCTTCTTCTTCTCAATTTTGCTGCCTAGGCCTGAAGCGTAATGAAATTATTGATGAAGAAGCTTTTGATGGATTTTTCGCTTGCCAGTGGTTTTATTTTATAGTACTTAATGAGCAAAGAGGGGTAATATATTCTTTGGTTGTGGTGTGCTACTAATGTTGAGAGATTCACAGATGCTAACCTATTCAGCATCAGGTTGGAGAGAGCCTATTGATTCAATTAAAATCCATTAGTGTGGTAACTGAAGATTCAAGGAGAAAGTAGGACGAGGTCGAGACAGGCCCTGGAGAGCTTAGATGCTGCCCTAAGACAAGATGTGCTATGGATTACATGGTGATCCAACATTCCCTCCTGCGACAATTGCTTGAGGTTAATTTTGTAAAAAGTGTAGGGTTAGGGATGCGATTGAGATTTTAGCTAAGGATTAAGGTTTAGAATATGGATAGTGTTGGCCATTGGGTCAAGGGTTGAAGTAAGGAATTGCGGCATTTTTGTCAAATTGTCTGTCACTGAGTATGTAATTTTTTCATCCCTTTTTGGCAAAGTCGCTTTAATAATTAGGACCTTTTTTGTTTTGCTTGTAGATTGCTTCGTACCAATTTGAAAAGTTGGAATATGGTGACCTATTTCATTTAAGTTTGATGGCAAGTTTCAGGTTCAAGCTGTTTGGAAATGTCAGTGCACCTCCCCCCCCCCCCCCCCCCCCCACCCCACTCTAGCGAAACCCCTGCTTCTGTCAATGGTTTTAATGCATAAGATTATTAAGTATGATAGACAAGCCTTTGATTGATATTTTGATTTTTACCTTGATTCTAAATATATTTAATCAACATCTTTTACTCAGTACAAAAATACTTAAATTTTGATGATATAATCTAGAATGCTATTTACCTTATTCATCTCGTCTACAGGCTTCTTCATCCTCTCCTCTCTCTAATCCTGCCTGCGAGGGCTCCCTTCTAAAACAAGATGGATTCCTGCTTGGAGTATGTCCTCTCCCTCTGCAGCTGCTGTGGATGTTACAGCAAATACCGTCACTTTGACGACGACCTCTATGAACCCTTGCTGTTGGATACTGAGAGGGAAGCAGTCAAAGATCTTCTGCATTATCTCAACAGAGGTAGGGTTCTTTGTTTCTTTGTTTTGTATTTCAGTGAATATAATTAACCCTACTCATCACCATAACCCTTAAAACCCAATCGCAACCCTAAACTTAACCCTAATCTTCTCTGATGAAATAAAGCCTGGGTCAAATGTCGCCAGAACAAATGTCAGGTCATCACCGGTAGTTGAGGGTTAATATTTGACCAGAGGGCACTAGTACTCTGACCGGTTTTTCCTATTCCAAGACCATTGTTGTAATCACAGGGCTCTCCAACCTATTGTTTGAGGCCTTAGACACACATGTGGATCTTTCTATTGAATAATTGATGTCACAACAAGATAATAAATCAAGTCTTTTAGGAGCTTCATGGACTTTTGATACTGGCCATGGAGAGAAAAAACACAGAAAAAGGATCTCCTGTATTTTATTCACAGGGGTTTATGTATATGTAGGTAGGGTTAGAGCTGTATGGGATTTTTCTATTTCTTCAATAATTGATGTTACACAAGGATAATACATCAATCTTTCTTCCATTTAAAGCTTGTTCACATATACCTCGATAAACAGTGTTAAACAGTTTTTTTTTTTTTGTGTACTTAATGAATAGCAACAAGAGATGGGATTTAAAAAGTAGAAGTGTGAAATAAAAGTCCTGTTCGTACTTACTTACTTACTTGTGTGTTATAAGATGCAAAAAATGTGAAGCATGTTTCTACTTATGTACGTTTAAATGGTTCTCTTTACTCACATGGCAAGCAGGGCTCAAATCAATTTTTTGTCAACGGGGGCTCTTCCCCCCAAAAAAGAGCCCCCGTAAGCCTTCTCACGGGGGCTCTTTTAGTACTGATGGGGGCTCTTTTTTATACAAATATCCATTGAATTGGTACCTATGATACTCCTTAATTATTTGCTATTTCATCATTATCATTTTAATCAGCATTTTCCCTCTTACAAATTTACAAGCTACATAGCTGTTACTGACTTTCATTCTGTGATGACATTCTCTCGATTTCTTCCCGTTCTGCACATTATTTCCTCCTCATTATTGGGAGCAACATTTACATTCTTTCTTTACTGAGCCGCATAGCGGCGAGGCAATTTTGTGTGTGTGCTATCTTGGACAGGCGCGGATCCACGGGCTGGTAGAATTCTACCGGCCCACCCCCCCCCCCCAGCCGCCCAAACCGGTAAAAAATGGATAGTAACGTAAATTTTACCTTAAGAAATAAAATAAAAACGCCCCCCTTACCTGCCAGTGACACAAATGCGGCATCAAAATATTTGTGCTTCTCTGACCGTAATTAAATGCCTAAAACCCCTGAACCCCCCCCCCCCCCCACCAATTTACGCTCACTACCCTCTACCTGATCGTAAATACTTTAGCCCCCCACTTTGATTAACGTTCCGCGGGGCCTGTGTATATCATATATACGCATACAACACTGATCTTTATGATGTCTTTAACGTGAAATATCTTCTTCTCCCCTTGCAAAAGAGAAAGAAAACAAAGTCATTAAAAGGGATTAAGCGACAAATAATGATTGTGATTCAAATTGATGCAAGGATTGCTTTTGAATAAGCACTGCTATTCACCCGAATCTTCTCTGTAAAAACAACTTTTACAAATCTTAGCCATGCTTACTGAGTTGAGACGTTCCATTTAATGTAAAATATTCATTAAAGAATCATCATCATCAATAGTGATCTGTCAGTTCATGACAGGTTCAGTGGCCCATTAAAAATTCCATATCAAGTGTCTCTCCAAGAGAGACACTTGAAGAATACACTTCTCCTAATCTGACCTAATCTATCAGTATTAGTATGAGCCAATATAAAGTTATTATTCTTTATTCAGTTCAGTATAATGCTTTTCCTCAAAAATAGTTTCGCTATTTTTTTTAGGGTTGAGATGCTAAGAAATGTTTCAAATGTACATTACACAAACCCTGAACCATTGCAAAATGATGGTGGTTCTCACTCTCTCTATCTCTCTTTATTTCAATCATGCATTATCAACTACATATAAAGCAGCAACCAAAAACTTAGGGTTATCTGAGATAGGTGAAAGTAAGAGTTAAAAAGAAAGTCATGCTAAAACGGCGCTTCACCTCCCTTCCTGAACAAAATGAAATAAATTAGTGGTCCTCCTCTCCAGCTCCCCCCTCCCCTGCTTTAATATTTACCGGCCGACTGAGTCGGCGCAAAAATGTCCCCCAAAAACTGGACCCCCCAAAAACAAATATATGTGCATTCACTCGCCGATTCGCCGCTAAATATTTTCTCAAGATTTGGGCCCCCCCCCCTCTTGCCACCAGCTGGATCCGCCCCTGATTTTGGACCCCCGTAAGTGATGTTTTCCTGGCATCTACTTACATGCGAAGCATCGTCCTCAAGCTTTTTTTTTGTTGCTATTTTGAACCCTGTATTGTTTTCCTGGCATCTACTAACATCTTACTGTGTGGGTCGATCTGGACACATGTATGGCGTTTTTCTATGCACATCACATTTTCACTTGGCAGCCCAAGGAGGCTGGGGGGGGGGGGGAGGAGGGGTTAAACTCCCTACCCCCTTCCCCACCCCCCCCCCCCCCCCCCCCCCCCCCCCCCCCCCCCCCCCGTAGATCTGTCCAGGTTACCATATCATTCCACGACATCTTGGTCTTCTTCTTCTTCTCAATAGGGACTTTTAGATTTGCGTGGACGTCCTTTTAAGGCACTGGCAGTCACATGTGTCGTATTTTTAAGCACTGGCAGTGCCTTATAATGAGGTCACACGTTGCAGTCCACATTCTCATCGTGCAAATCTAAAAGTCCCTAATATTGATTTACTGGTCGAGGTTCATTATTTGCTGGTCATTTGAAATCACCAGATTTCAGCGGGTTTACGCAATATTGTGTTAAAGTTATAACAGAAAAGATAATCTTTATTTCATAATTCCACAGGGGCGATTTTTAATTTTGCAATCGCCCCCGTGAGCATCCTGACGGGGGCGATTATATAGCTCACGGGGGCGAATCGCCCACCGCCCCCGTGTATTTTGAGCGCTGATGGCAAGTGGGTATATTTATAAAGATGTTGTTGTCTGTCCATCTGTCACGCCCATCTCTTCCCCTTTGTCTCTTTTAATCCCTCTTGCTTATAATAACGCATATATTGTGGAGTAGCCCTTTCACAAATGGGCAGGGCTTAAATTAATCCAAGGCCATGGCCTTGGATGCCCCTTTGATTGGCCTCAATGCCCCTCTCACTGGCCTTGGAGATTTATTGTGCCCTTTCCAATTCTTCCTATTTGTGCTGTAATATAGGAATGTGCCCTACAAAAAAGTGGCCTTGTTCTAAAAATATTGAAATTTAAGGCCTGAATGGGTAACACCAAATACAAGATTAGGGGGTATTTTTCTAAGTCTGTATAACGTACATGAATCTTACTTTAGTATTCTTTGTTCAGAAAATATCTAGTCTGAAAGATCATAATTTTTGGATAAACATTATTTACTTGAATGGAAAAATCCAGCATTCATATTTTTGTGCAAGTTGAAACTTTAATTTGCTAAATTCTGTATACAATTATAAAAAACTTCTGATGTTAACTAGGAATTAATAAACAATTTAAAATGATCACACAAACTTTGCCCCATGTAATGCAATTTATTATTTTATTGACTTACATGTAAATGAATCAGAACTATGAGGGTTGGTGTCTTGATGAATAATGCCCCATGATTTCCTTTACTCACATAAACTTACCTCTCTTTCCTTTGTAGAATATGAGGAGAAGCCTACCATCTCTGAGGAGCGTTTAGAAGCTCTGTGTACGTTGACTTATTCAGAGAATGCAGACTTGCAGAGATCGGCAGCACTATGCCTAGCAGAGATCAGTGAGAGATGTAAGTCAGTAGAATCAGAAAGATTTATGTCTATAGAATTTCAGCATGATGATCAATATAATGATAGTACATGCAGTAGGGTTACCCCATCATTATTAACACTGCTCTTCCTAGTACTAGCCCTGCAGTTGTTATTACCCCAGTATTGCCAGGTACCCCGTTAAATGGAGTGGGTAATGACCTTGTCCGAGAATGTAAGCAACATTCAAGGATGGAACCCGGTATCTCTATACTTGAGGGTCAATATACCACAATGCACCCACCTATTTACTGTTTGATAGTCGTACAACATTTGCATCTCTTCGTTCATGTTTCCCGGTACTTAAATGTGATTTCATAACTGAAGGACTCGAAAGGTACAATTGATTGCAGTTGTCTGTTGCTGGGCCCCTGTAGTGGTCAGATGCAGAAAATTAAAGAGAACATACCCATTTGTGATGCTACATGTCAAGATACTTTTCTATTTAAAGAGGTTCATGCGGGGGTATAAAGTCGTTCATGAAGTAGGCAACTTGGCGATCACTCACTGCACTATATAACACTGAGCCAACAGGTATTATGCTCCTGTGCGTACATCCGTGTTCTGCCCTCTATATACCCAAGCATGAGAAACTTTAAGATCTTTTTGTCGGGGTTAGACACTAACAGGGGCCCGGGACACTTGGGCACCCAAAATCTAAGTCTGTACCCCCAAAATTCTGAAATTTTCACATAGGCCCATGCATACAGACTCAAAAAGCCTAATCCGGACCCCCTACCAAAAAAGTTAGTGTGAAGTCCTGTTTTGTGTGTGAACCAAGTTGTTAAAACCTAATTCTATAGAATTGTAATCCATTATGACATTGTTTTCTTGCTTGTGTGTTTGTTTAGTAATGCAGCCGATATCAGCCAAAGTGATGGAGCCCATTCTTGTCTTGATGGAGTCAAGTGATGTTGAGACGCAGAAAGCCGCTTCTCTTGCACTCAGTAACTTTGCTCTCTGTGGACATGGTAAGACTTTGATGTCCCATGTCTCTTATCATTTTTTCTTTACCTGTATAGTACCTTTCTCATTCTTAAATTTATTTTCCCTTTTTTCATACAAACTGTATCCTCGTTTACCCTCTCAAAGGCCTTCTTTGTGTACCTTAATCTTGATTCTTACCTGGTTATCCACTTTTTTCCTTTCCAATATTTCTTTCATCTTTATTTTTCTTGTGATGTTTTTTTCTATATTATTTTAATATTATATATCTCTACATGCATGTGTGTTTCAGCAACATTTTGTCTCTCTTTTTCTTTCCATTGCATCAAAAGAAATAGTGAAATCAAACTTATTTTAGTCACAAAATAGGACTTGAATGTTCAAGAAAATATATTTATTCATTTCGACCTGCTTTGAATACCTGTAATGATTCATGAACTTTTGTTTGTACTTTCATGAAACAGAGAGTAAAAAAAGTGTTCTTATGAAGTAAGTTACTCTACCCACCTCTCATTCTTAGTCACTGAATTAAACGTTCACATCACCATGTTTTGCAATTGAAATCATATCTGTACAATATTTAGACATTTCTTCTTGGATCTTTTCTATCCAAGTATTTGACTTTATCGTATGATTGTATTTGAATGTCACAGAGAGCAACAAGAGTGTGATCGTGAAGTGTGGCGCCCTCCCGGTACTGATCAAGCTTCTGTCATCAAACAATGTAGAGATCCAGTGCAATGCTTGTGGATGCATCACTACTCTCGCTACCTCAAGTAAGTCTTCATATATTTACTTCTTCCCTTAAAGCCCCTCTGCACTAGTTTGGCATGGAGGGATTAGACGTCCCACCATGGTCGCCAACAGGTGGTTATCTCATCAAATCAGCTCTCAATTAACATAAGAAAAGGGCATCATGGGGGATCAACGGGTACCGCTTGTATAGAGGGCGCAAGTAGCTATAGGTAGTGCAGTGGGGCTTTGAAGCCTTGTTCAGCAGGCATTACGCATAAAATTTTCTTCAAAAACTCTCTTGAGGCGAGTTGGCTCAGTGGGTAAAACATCTACCTGTCGAACTAAAGATTGTGGGTTCAAATCCAACCTAGGTGGATGACTGAAACCTGCGCTGTATGTTAACGTGCCCCTCCCCTGCTTCATAAACACACGCTGTGTTACAGTGGAAAACTCTGTCTCTCAGATAGGATGTTAAATGGAGGCCCTGTGTAGAGGAGCGTCACGACCTCAACCCACTGTAGTTTTTGTATAAGACTAGGAAGAAACCCTGGTGTTGTGGTCAACTTGCACATCCCCAATCAGATATACTAAAATGTGAAGATGATATTTATCCAGTGGTACATGTTAAGCCCATGTACTCCTCACATGTTTTGCTGTTTTTCAGTCTGTCAATGATAAACAGAGTATATCACTTCAATGCTCAGAGATGTTCATCCATGATGTCGATGTACTATTCCCCTATCTCTCTCTCTCTCAAGCTCGTCTAATCTTCATTACATGCAACTCATGTCCCCTTGACCATGCTCCCTCATGCCTCGTTTCTCTATATTTTTTTTATTGCATGTTTGTAAAGTAGCACTGTTTAGGAGTTGTGTTTTCAGCACAGCGCAGTAGAGTATACTGATATAGTAGTTGCGCTAAACAAATTATTATTATTATAATTATTTAATTATGGTACATGTCTTTGAACTTTAATATCTCTTTTTTTCCCTTTCTCTCTCTCTCTTTCTTTGTCTCTACCTCTTTTTCTCTCTGTTTCTTTTCTCTGCTCCAGATACCAACAAAATGGCAATTGTTTCATGTAATGGTGTTCCTCCACTGATGGCTCTGACCACATCACCAGACATCAGGGTACAGCGCAACGCTGCAGGAGCATTACTTAATCTCACTCACATAGGTAACCCATCTTTACTTTAACCACGTTGCATAAACTCACAATTGATGGTAACTTTGCCATCAATGGTAACTACCATGGAAACCTTGATTTTGATTGGCTATTAAGCCCTGTTACCATGGTAGTTGCCATTGTTTTATGCAACATGGCCCTGATCATTATCAAATATACCGGTAGGCAGAAACGCCCTGTATAAAAGGAATATAATTAAGGTTTTGTGGTTACCACACAGTTAAACAGAATCATTGAATCATGCAGGTTTCTTGTGTTCCATGGCAATCAGCTCTTTTATCAAAACTATTTTGAAATTTACAACATATCTTCTTCCTTAAACTTTAAAATTCAATTTCGAATACAGTGATTTCATATAATTATGATGCACATCAAAAGTAGCTTTTGTTTGTTTCTGAAGATAAGGTGATATTTTATTATACATGTATACTGTTGAGGGGACAGAGTCAAATCATTTTATCACATGATTTGAGATGTGAAGGTGTTATTTCAAGCACCATTGTTACATGAATATCCATTGATAAGATATTGATCTATCTTTTCCTCTCTTGACTTGAAGTGTACTGAATGATGTGAACTCATTAGTGGTAGCTTAGCCCCAAACACTACACAATGAGTGCCATTAGCTCCCATTGAGTGGTAGATATAAGCTCTTCACAAAAGACCAATACTTGTATGACATCTGTATCGGGGCATCAGATTGATACCAATGTACTGTATTCAATAATATTTCTAAATTGGCTACCCTATGGTTAATTAATTTTCATAAAGACAGCTATGTATTTACCAATATATATGTTTACCAAATTTCTCCTGTTCTTCTGCCTTAGATTCCAACAGGACGGTGTTAGTGAGCCTGGGAGCCGTCACCACCTTCCTAACATTGCTTCAGTCGCGGGACACCGACATCCAATACTACTGCGCAGCGGCACTCAGTAACCTGGCCGTGGATGAAAAGCATCGTGTTGCCGTGGTGAAGGAGGGTAACCATCAGGTCATCAAGATGCTGATCAGTCTGTTAAGCTCACCTGCTGATAAGGTACGTACCAAGCATTGCGGGCCCAGCACCACAGAAATAACAGTTGCCAGTTTGGATTTTGTGGGGTGAAAAGTTTAGGTACATCCTGGATTTTGAAATGTAATTTTTACTTCTTCATGAACTTTCCATGTAATTGGCTTGTCTGGGCACTTACATATATGTACTGCAAGTTTGATTTGATGGTTTTTGGTTGATGGTGTGTTTAACACGACTGTTAAGAAAGCATGTGTGTGCTTGTAAGTAAGAACTAGGTGACTGATGGCTTTAAGCCCTCTCCGAGGGACATGGTAGGAGAGGACTTGGTAATGAGGATTAACGCTTTACCAAAGGGCACTAGCGCATCGACCAAAACCACGAAGCTACAAAAGAGTAGTCATTGTGATGTCATTGAAAGCAAATGGCAGCCCTTACAACTGTGACTCTTGGCATTTTTAGCGGGTCGGTTCCCTTTTTCTTGCTTTTATATGCATATTGCGGACCATATATATGAAACAAATAATTCATGTTTGAAATTTGTGCATTAGTGATATGCCCTGCACACTGTTAAGTCACAATGAGCCAAATAGTGAATTGGACAAGTCTCATCCATTATACGATCGTGACTTCACCTGCGAGCAGTGTATATAAGAATTATTTGTGTATTAGATATTTATGTACCGATGCAAGGGTTGAATCTGTGTTTCCTTTTTTGTGTGACTCACACTGTATATTTCATTCTATTCCTCCTTACAGGTGAAATGCCAAGCTTGCTTTGCCCTCAGAAACCTGGCCTCAGACGGTGAGTCCTCAATAACCATTTCCTCCTATTTTGTCGTCTCTAGAGAGAAAATGCAATTCATGACTCTCTGCAATGGTCAATCGTGTGAGCTCATCCAAATGAGCTACTAAAGACTGTATTTAAAGCCTGTCTGCAATAGTTTGGCAAAGAGGGATTAAACCTCCCTGCCTGGTCACTGACAGGTGGTTATCTCATCAAACCAGCTCTCAATTAACATAAGAAAAAGAGGATCATGGGGCACCAATAGGTAACGCTTAGGCATTGTTTGCTATATAGAGGGCCCAAGTAGCTACAGGTAGTGCAGTCCTGCTTTAATTCTTCACGTGTCACTCAATTGATATTCCTGTGCTACACTGCTAAATTGTATTTTGACAGGGGTAGTTGTTACCAATGGCTTCTAGTTTATTTCAAAATATCTAATATAAAACTTCCTTATTCTGGTGATAAAAAAGGGTTGTCATGCAGCCAACTAAGACTAGGAATGGGTAATTATGGGTATTTAGGTGGGTTTTTTTTTTCTTTAATGCGAATGCAATCCTTTTAGTAATTGTTGGCTATTGTTTTTGCCAATCAGATCTTGCGGCAAATGTATTAGTCACTATTTGTTGCAAATAGAATGTTCAAAAGGCCATTGTATCCTTGGACTTTATACAGCTGTAATTCTTATTGACTTGATTGACCTGACTGAACTTATTGAGCACATTGTAGTCAACTATTTCATTAATTACTCATAATAAGATGACCTTAACAGACTAGCAAGACACAATTACAATAACCTTTGAGTTCTGACAAGCATATCCAGTACTTTGCTTCAAACATCACATTTCATGCATGGCATACCCATTGTGATAATGATAAGCCTGATTCAGATAAAGGACAAGGTTAATGAATTTCATTGATGCGTGTGGATTAGTATTGTATTATTTCCTGGTAAGCTCAATTGTAGAGTTCAAATGCATTCATTCATTCAGAGTAATACAAATATTGATATAGTAATGAAATGTATGGTGACGGGAATGTTTTTGCCTTTTTACCCTTGAGCACATCGGCTAATAACTTGTGATCAATTTTGTATTCTGAATGATTTTAAGATTAAAGCACTGGAAAATATCTGTGCTGTTGACGACAGTGGTGTTGATAATTATGATGATTAAATTAACTAATTATTGAATCGGCTATTACAGTCTGCACTATGGAATTAGATCAGATTTATTGTATCCCAGTATCAGTATTATGTCAGTGTTTGCAGTTTCATGCATTTGGTCAGGAAGCTGAGCCCTGGAAATGTTTTTTTTTTTTAAATAATTTTAGAATTCATATCATCCCTGTTTCCATCTTTTTGTTATCAGATGAGAATCAGGTTGCCATAGTAACCTTAGGAGGACTCCCTCATCTTCATGCCATCATGAGGGATAGCTCCAAGGAGACCCTGTCTGCTGCCATCGCTGCTCTACGTAACCTCTCCATACACAGACTCAATGAGGTATGTACATTGGTTATAATTAATCGTATAGCACAGTGTTGACAAAAGTTGAAAGGGTCTGAAAGAGATTTTGTTCAAGGGAAAGTCCATCCTGGCATCGAGTTGGTTTCACAAAATGGATAAGGAAATGAACTAATCAGGGTGAGTGTGAGGAAAATCTTTCCAAAGGATAAGAAATTAGTTAAGTTTTAAAGTTCATTGAAAGGAAGAATAACAGTTTTAACATAATGATTGATCATCATAAATTGGCAGCTCTGTTTGACTTGCCAGGGCCTCTCATTCATTCATTGTTTACTAAAATTTCATAAGTTTTGTCACTTTCTGCAAAGAAATAGATTCACTCGATCACCAACAACCAAGGAAATGTAAACACTTGAAATTTTTAGTACAATTATTATCATCTCTCACCTCCATTCGAAGGCCACCCATGATGAGGGATGCATGATGGCGCTACCACTACAGCTTCAACTTTGTTGATAGAACAATCACTCTATACTCTTTCCCCTCCAGATCTCAGCTGTTGAAAAGGGAATTTTGGAAAAGATAACTAAATCCCAAGACAGCTCATGATGTGGGTCACTCACTGAGCATTGCCTTAGCCTTTAGCACTTCAACTATCATTACCACTACCATTACCACTGCAACTACCACTACTACTGCCACTACCTCTACCACTGTCGTCACCCACTACCAACACTACTACCATTACCATTGCAACTACCACTACCACTAGCATCACCTCTACCGCTACCACTAATACTTAACCAATATTCCTACCACTACTACTACCAATACCAGTACCACTTCCTTTCCCCCTGATCACTATCTTTATGTTGATAAACCAATCACTCTATACTCTTTCCTCTCTAGATCCCAATTGTTGAAGAGGGGGTCTTAGAGGAGATAACGACCATCCTAAGATGGCCCATGATGTGGGTCACTTACTGAGCATTGTCTTAACCTTTATCCTAGCACTACAACTATCATTACCGCTACCATTACCACTGCAACTACCACCACCCCTACCACTACCAATACAACTACCCCTACCACTATGAATACCATTACCACTACCAATACCACTTCCTTTACCGATGACCTTTATGTCTATAAAACTAATCACTCTATACTATTTCCTTTCCAGATCCCAATTGTTGAAGAGGGGTTCTTAGAGGAGATAACAACCATCCTAAGACGGCCCATGATGTGGGATGCACACTGCCATGCCGCAGGGACGTTACGCAACCTAGCTGCTGGCAGTAAGACCAGGGTAAGATTACTTGTAAAACTACTGTAAAACCAGGTGGTGTTTCACAAAGATCCTAACTCGAACTTAACTCTAAGTTGGACTTCAACATTATGGAGAGCCATTAGTAGCCTTAAAATATAATATATTCAAAAGAGAAAATTCAAGTATTTTAGACTTTTTATATATTCCGCATCAAGAACATAAAATCTCCTTGATGATAGAAAATATGAATGATTTGAACATTTTATGCCTTTTAAAAGAACTTTTACAAAATATTTTCATAGATACTAACAGCTTTCCAAAATTGTTAAGTCCAACTAAGAGATAAGTTCAACTTAGGATATTTGTGAAACACCCCCCAGAAGTGTGGCTAATTTTGTGGACATGAAACTTTCACTAACTATACCAGTGGTTCAGATTCATGATAATTAAATGCTGCAAAACAACTGAATCCAAACTGACACAACATTGAACGTTTTATATGGCGGAAGTTTCTTGGAAAAGGTAGGTAAATCTCTCATGGTATGGACAAGATTATGATAATATTGAGTGAAACTTTCCAATGTGTATTTGTTAGAAATTAAGTGTTTCAGAATCATAATGTAAACTGTGTTTTTATGACCAAAAGACACAGCTTAATCACTTGGAGGCAAATTTTTAAGAGTTTATTGTTCATAAGGAAGGTGCATGTGTTTGGTAATCTTAACCATGCCATCTATACCTGATCTTCTTGTTTACTTGATTAAAATTTTCACATTTGATGTTTCTCCTTAGATGATTTTAATTTGTTATGTACAGAAATATTTAATTCTGGCATCTAAATTTTCAGATGATTTGAGATCTGGTTTCCTGTATAAAACCTAAGTTATAGGAATATTTTGTTTTAATTAATATTTTGTTTCAATAAATCTTTAGATGATCTTGAGCTCTGGTGCCCTCGATGGGTTAATATCAGTGTTCCTGGAGTCCACCTCACCCGTCGCCGTCCAGACTGAAGTGACCGCTGCACTGGCCATCATAGCTGGCAATGGTATGTCCACTAGCAGCATTGTAAATGTCAAAATCATTGGTGGGGGTAGGGCTCAGAGAACATGTGCCCCCCCCCCCCCCCAACAAAGAAAGGGAAGAGAATGGGGCTGGACCTAGTGCCTTACCCAACAATTCACTATTGTCATTTTATTGTCTAACATCTTGCTGGTGGTAGGATCAATTGCAAAGGAGTGGAGGAATGTGTAGACATATATGGATTACGGACCTTTTTTTCTTCCTCCAGACAAGTTTGATTCCTCTGTCCATTATACCTACAGATTATTCTTTACTTTAAATTGTCATATTCACATACATTTAGTAGGTCAACTGGTTTAATTGATGATCAACCATGCTTTCTGTTATTAAACATAGTTATATTAAAGTAGAGGTGTTGTGGACTAGTGGATAAGTCACCTGACTGCAGATCACGAGGTACGGGGTTCAAGTCCCGCCGTGGCACTAATGTCCTTTGGCAAGACGTTAATCTACATTTGCCACTCCACCCAGGTGTAAATGGGTACCTGATATGCTTGAGCGCTAGTTACTTTGGCAGCTCAGCTATAACCAGGGTAATATGTGTAAAGCGCCATGAGGGTCAGAACCTGACGGATACCGGCGCTATATAAATAACCATACTATTATTATTATTATTTATTTAAAACATACTTTTAATTTTGTTTCCTGTTTTGATGTGTTTAGATGAAGCCAAGCAGATGTTGCTCCATATTGGTGAGGGGCGTGTGTTCAGCCGGTTGATATCCCTTGCGTCCTGCTCACCTAGTAGGGAAGTGCAGTACAACAGTGCAGGCACCATTGGACAACTTGCTCTATTCAGTAAGCACCTACAGCTCTCTTTATTATGTCATGATATTATTAAGAGGGATAGTCTATACCATGCTCTGGTATCTTTTATCTTACATGTTTTAATTTATGTGAGGTATTGGTGTTGACCATTTGAGTGACTAGGATAAATGAAATTATTTAAGGGATGAAAAGAATGAAAATGATGGCAATGATGGTGATGATGGAGATGATGGTGGAGTTGAGTGGCTTGAAATAGTGCATGATATATTTACTTTATATCTTTCAAACCAACCTTCATGAAAATAATAATAATAATAATCTTGATCGATTGAATATCTTTGACGTCATCCATGGTATAGTGCACTATACCATGGATGACGTCATGGTATAGCATATTTTTCTTATCGGTAACATCATAGCAATGTTATGCTTGGTCACATGATGCTATGTTGACCAATCACTGAACAGCTTTTCATTAATCAAAAATATAACCTTTTTCACTTTGTCTTCTTTTCAACCTTCCTAGGTCTGCAGTCTGAGCTCATCACTATCAATATCTCCAACATTCATAAGTATCTCACTCGCTTCCTCAGGAGTTCAGATTCTAACTTCATCCACATTGCGCTCTGGACAATTGTTCATCTTCTCAAAGGTAGGCTTATGTTCTGCCTGTCAGTTTATCTGGCCATCTCCCCCTCTCTCTCTCTCTCTCTCTCTCTCTCTCTCTCTCTCTCTCTTAAGTAGCATTATATCAAAAGTCATAAACAAAATTCTTCAAGCTTATTGTTGCCTTGCCCTAGAAAATCAATCTGACACATTGGTAAACTGGGGAGTGTTTCACAATGACTAAGATCGAAGTTGGACTTAAATATGGCAGGCCATTTATGCCACTGGTTGCTCTCACCATTGGTCTCTCAATTATGATCTTTAGATAATATTTTTTCCTTCAATAATGAACTATCAAAAAAGCTGAATTCTGTAGATGTGTGACCATGATTTGTACGTCCTTTGAGAGACCAGTGCAATTAAATGGTGAGAGCAAACAGTGGCATGAACGGCCTGCCATAGTTAAATCAAACTTAAAGCCAACCTAAGTCTTTGTGAAACACCCCCCCACGAGTTCCAAGCTCTTTGTCATTTGTCCTGTTCTACAAAGATTTAATACTTCATCAGGTCAGAAATAATACCTTACTCTTGATTGGCTAATTGTCTAATAATAAATAATAATAATAATAATGTAACTTATACCGCGCCAAATCCACTCTGTGGAGTGCTCAAGGCGCGTGTAAACAGGAAACGGCGCAGTCGATTGTAACATTACTGTGTTCATCTTTCATCTCTGTTTCCTGTCTTATCAAAACTATATCTTTTTCAATGAAAATAGCAGGGTTCCAGATAGACAACCAATAGATTTCTAAGATTATATTCTAAAGTTCTTTTCACTTTGATCTATTTCTGCATCTTTCATCAGCGGAAGCATTCAGGACAGCATTTGGCGAGTCATCATTGCCCAGATTGGTGGACACCATTCTGACCTCATCTCACCCTGAACAGCTCAAGCAGCTTGCACAGACTGTCCTGGACAACATGGGTTAATCACCCGTCTCTTTGGAGTGTGACCCCATCTTTAACATGGGTTACCATAAGGAGTGATATGAACTCATCTTCGAGAGTGAGGTAACAGTCTTCTGTGAAGGGTGTGTTTGTGCCTGGTGCATGAACACATCTTAAGTCAAGTGTCTCACAGACTATATGAGGATCATGGTTGGTATTGATACACCAGTCTGTATTAAAGTGATGATGAAGATGTGACATTCTCTGTTCACAAAGACGACAAGAGGATGTTGTGCCAGGTGCTATGATGAGAAAGAACACTAAATCACCTGGATGACAACTCCCAATGTCTAACCTCTTGAGACCACTGAGTATCTTTACAAAGGGAGTTCTATTGACACATGATCAAAGAACTGTGCAGGAAAATGTAAGTTCTACATTTGGATTTGCAAGTCAAAGAGGCAATATGCTACAGAAACACTGACCTACCAGTGATTAAGCAGTGGATTGAATTGTGATGCTGCTTCATGTTACAAATATTTCGGGGAAGAGTGGTGTCATGGTTTATTATTTATACTTAACTCTTTGAATCATGAATTGTCCATAGTATTGGATTACCAGTCAAATGGATTGTATGTAACCATGTTGATATGTTACTTGCATACTTTTGATAAATCTAGACTCTTGTTGTTTGCTGGGAAGCAGAAGGATATTAAGTCATATCCTTCAACATTGGAGTTATGCCCCTCTAGCTGTCTTGTCTTCAGACTATTTATACATCATTAAAACCTTATAAACTAGATACCTTATTAAGGCGTTAGTTCAAGAAGTAATGTACCTAGCTGTGAAATATGAACCCCACCTTATACCCAAGGTTTGTTGTTATTGCTACTTTTTGTTATTTTTATACATATGATGGAGTACGTAATCACAGATTGAATTTTTGCATAGATGTAAATCAGTAGCGAGATGTCTTGATCTGTGGCTTGTACTCATCGTACAAATTTTTTTTTTCTTTTGCTGTTGTTTTGTTGTGTGGTTTTTCCCTTTCTTAATAATTCATAATAATAATTCCCTTTCATAGAGATGTAGATTACCGCTTGTGTGGGAGTATACCATTATTGAGGATACTTGATGTAGAAACTCCGCATATGTTATTTTTATTTCATTGGAAATGGAATATCACTGAAAATGCATGTTGTATTTTGATATTATAGGTTTTTTTTAAATTATTTTCAGAATTTACATACATTATTCAAAACATGAAGTCCTATAACATTCCATAGGCACTGTACATTTCCATGCAGAAACAGATTGGACCAAAGAGACGTGGTGTGTTCAAAATGAGATCCATTTCACATGCAAGGAACCTTTTTACAAGGACCAAGATGGAGGGGGAGGAGGTGGCAATTTCAATCCCTTATGGAAGATAAGATTTATCACATTTATGTTTTTTTTTGGTTTGCGGAACACCCCATTTATTTGAGGGGGAGGGAAACAAATATATCAATAGATATGGATTCTGTAAGGCCATTTTCACTCAGCTGGAACCAAGAGAAAATGATTTTCTGCTGATATTTGGTTCGCTTGTAGATCATACCATAACCTGGAGTTTTTTTTAATTTTTCCTACCCTAAACTGGATACCATTTTTTTTTTTGGTATGATATAGACTGATATCATAAAGACAGTGAAATTATATAAATATATATTTTTTTTTGTTTTTCATTTGTGACACTTGAAAGGCATTGAATATATTCACCCTTGCAAACGGCCAGTTTAGTGCTTTCACATTATGTGGCAATATGCTCTTGTCCTTATTCATTCCATACTGTTGGATGCGTTACCTGTATAATTGATAGTGTGTGCATACCTGTAGGAAACTAAATTGATATGTGTATTTTTGTGACAGGGCGTGTAAAATACAGGGGTATTTTTACCATTGCAGTTGTAGTCAAGTGCTTTCACATCAAGTCACAAACACCCTTTCGTCCTAACTCATTCCTCGATATTGCTTTGCCATTTTGAATCCCATGTAGGTCGCAATATAAAGTGAGTTATAATTGAATATGGATATAACTGGATATGACTTGTTTGTATATAATAGCAGCCATTTTCTAGTGATCACTCTTTAATGTACAGTGTTCAAACTTGATGTACAGTCTTCAGACTTGACTATAAATCTGTATATTTATGCAAGATGTTTGATAAAAGTCTGATAATGGATCATGTATATGCTGTGTTTGATGTACAGATTATGCAGAATCGAGGCAATATTTATCATCGGAGTTGACATGGCCAGAAAGATACTGTCGATCTAGAGACAGTTGAATGCAAAATGATGTATTGGGTTGTCGAATATGTTGCTTGCAACGGGCTTGAATGGAAGGAAGCCACTTTCAAAGTTGTGTGCTTTTTGCTCCTTTTATTGAGCAAACCTGATAAAAGTTTGTGAGTTTGTATATCACTTTGGCTCTCCAGCCTGTGTATACTTAGCAAGGTTTAATTTGTAATGTTATGACTTGAGTTGAGAAGGCTCAGAAATAAAATATCACTTTACATTTTTGTGTATCGTTCAAAGAGGTACATTCCCATTTTATTGCCAAGCAAGTAAAATAGTCAAATATTTTTTTATAGCTTTGATGAACAATTTGTTTAGAACATAACTCCATATATGTATTATCAAAATGATTTGTTTCACTGCCAAAAGTTTTGTTCTTCTACTTGTATTCATCAAGAAAATATCACTGCATTTTGCACTTATGGAATGTTCAGAAGACTGGTAATGTGATAGTTTGTTACTGAAATAGCACATTTAACACATCTACATGTGTATTTAATCTGGATTCTACATAAATATTCGGTAATTGGCGTCGGCCAAGTTGTCTATCATTTGAAGAATCAGCTTAGGGCAAATAGAAACACATTGATTACATTAAGCATTATCTATGTATTTTTATCCCACATCTCCCATATCTCGGCAGATGTTCACCTGAATTAAAATTAGTGAGACAATAACTAATTTCTCAGAGTTTTACCAGCCAATATTATTTCAACCATGTAAAGTAGGCAGTTCTTATGTCTACTTAAATTTTTTTAAATGGGCACTTATGATGTGATTTACACAAGTCTATCCCAACATTGCGGATACAATTTCTTTATGTGAACTGAATTACAACAATTCAAAGCATGTGACTTGAGTAGTTCATCACAAGTGAAAATACACCCAATGAATTTGAATCTGTACAGGATCTAGATTTATTTTCTTCAAGTATTTTGAAGTTGCATTATGTTGAGGAAGGGAAGCTTTACTGCAACAGCTCTTCTCCAATTCTCCATCCATGTATAATGTGTGCAATGATGTGTTGAAGTGTTTGGCGAAATAGTTTTGATTGATTTTATAGTTTTGTTTTGTTTTCTTTGTGTTTGGTCACGATGCGTGTGCCAGATTTGTGATAGAATTGCATCATGAGGTGTTTCAAGGACAGTTGACCATCTGATTGTGTTGAGTAATATCTTGCTGATTTGCAAAGGGAAGAGGAAATAAGGAAATAAGGAATACAAGAATGTTGCTAAAAGAACAATCACACAACTCAATGAAACTCCATAAATTGACATCATGATGGTGTCTAAAACAAGGAATTTCGCTCCGTCAAGAAAAGAAAAAAAATCTTTTTCTCACGTCAAAAGCACAATTTAAAAGATGTCTTGGATGTTTTGAACATCTGCAGTTTACCATTTATGAGAAAAAGCTAATCACTAACTGTGCTACATGTATTTATTATGCACCTCCTTTTTCATTGTCTTTTTTACATACGAGAAAATTCCAAGCTGCTGAAAAATTCAAAAATATGAAAAATCATGTCTCTTTATTCAGGAGTGTGGCTAGAAATACAACATAAAATTGAAAAAATAAGTATTGGGGGAAATTTTGAACATTTTTGCCTCAGCCGTTACTTAAATGAGTGTGCAAGTCATCTAAAACTTGCCTAAAATAAATATGTATTTCAAATATTGTAAAGTGTACCTCATTTTGGTTGTGCCAGTATATGTCATTTAACATAATCATGGGTCATAAACTTATAGCACTGCAAGCATAAATCAACAAGCCTGATGTATAATACATTGATCAAATGTAAATGCATATATTTTAACCTTCCCATTGATCCAGAAACAAAATTATAAATGCAAAGTCTTTTACATGTGCTCACACTTTCTGATCGTTGGTCATCGGATAAGAGTGTATTTATTTCATTCATCTTTCGTAAAGAACATTACAAGGTTAACAAATTCATCTTGTAACAGACTTGATAGTTCTGAACATTAATATTCCTTTTGTATCTTGTTTTCTATTTCTTTGGTATCTTGTTTTCTATTTATTTTGTATTTGTTTTCTTATCTTTTGTAAGCTTAATTCTTTTGAATTCAAGATTATGTGAATATGTAATCTAAATCATTGTATTCATACCTTTGTACTGATCTTTTATAATTAAAGGAGAAATTAATATATAATGAGTTTGTCAAATGAATGAGGATTGTTTCGGTAACGGTTAATTGTAAGAACATGCTATATCGTGTACTTATTAACAAGTTTTAACAATTCAATGTAGGTGTGTCATAAATTACTACCTATGTTCTAAAGCAGACTGAACAGATGTATGGCTGTTACGTACCACAACCACAAGTCAAGGAAATATTTCTTACATAGGTTTAAGTAAGCACTTGAAGCTTAGACTTTACACTTATTGATTATTTTAACTTGAAATACACTGTATATTCTAAAACAGCACTGCAGGTTGTCGGTAAGTCTGCTGTCCATAACATTATTTTCAATGAACAGGGCATTAATGAACAGGGCATTTAAAAACAGTCTTAGCCAATTGTATGGCATGGCACATGTTTATAAATTATTAAAAATATAAATAAGACATTTGATAATATATTGATTACTGTTGAAATTATGAGGATTTAATTTTATTTGTATCCCGTAAAAATTATGCATGTTTAAATAAATCTTTTAATAGGAAATATTTTGATCAGTTTCCAATACTTGTATTCCTTTGTAGTATTAGTCTTTCACACAAACTTTCTAGTTTTTCCCCACTTGTCAGTGATGTATTGTTATTCTCTTCTCATGATGCAATTATGTTATTTATTTGGAGGTTTTTGTACATGCATGTCAAATGGAAACTTTTTTAATCTAGTGTTTGCATTAAAGTTCAAAATAAAAAGAAATAATGGCACATTTGTATGTATTCATTGTTCTGACGTGTTATCAACATTCAAGATGCAGTATTTAAATAGTCCGTCGTTACCACGACAAATGGTCCTGATTATTCTTTCTGTTACATTTTGTTTCACATTGTGGAGTAACACATCAAGAGTGCTCTATAATTGAACAGAACTGTTTTGTGTGTGAAAATTTTGCAATAAAACAAAAAAGAACCAGAAGATACAATAGGAGAATCTGTCAAGAATATGAACTGCTTTTCTTAACTTGAGCAGAGTCCAGATGTAGATTTTCTTCCCATGATTTTAAACTATGCCTGGAATCTGTTTGATGTCCACTTTGATACACCTGCCACCCTCTGGCACAAGGTATTGACAGCAAAAAATGAAACATGGCTGCCAAAATTGGTGTCCATACTCTGAAATGCACAAATATTTTAAACACACTAAATAGGTATCTTATACTGTGTCGCATGTTGCACAACATCCAGTATACATGATTTTGCACACAGTTTAGACAGGCAAATGAGACGTGTCTGTCCATACCGTGTCAGATGTTCCCTCACATCAAGTAGGGAAGATATCGCACATAGTATGGACAGCAAAAGGAACCGTGAGCCTGTCATACTGTGGAAGATGTCTCATGTCTGTTTGAATGCCAAGATATCGCACACGGTTGAAAGTTGTGATATGATTGCAACGCCCCACTAGTCTCCTAAATTTCCTAGGATTTTGTTTAAAACTAGATCTAGCTTTCATTCTCCCCTCTCTCTCTCTCTCTCTCTCCCTCTTTGAAGTTGAGCTGCGATCAAGTGCAAATTTGCAATTAATCGCAAGACTTGCGCTTGATTTTGGGAACTTGCAATTGATTACAACAAACTTGCAACGTCCCAAAAGGCCTTTTTAAAAAAAGATGTTGTTTTGCCTTGTAGGTTCCAAAACATGGGTCGGTCGGTCAGAAATCTTTTTATCTATTTATTTTTTATTTTATTTTTTTACTCCCCCTTTGGGCTGATATTTATCAGTTTTGAATGCATTAATACATTTTTTTCCAAAAAATGTTATTTTTTAATTTTTTTTTATAGCCGACCAAAGATTTCAAGATTTTGGGTCGGTCGCAAAGGGCAATACAACATCTTTTTTTTTAGGCCTAAGTGTATTGGAATTTTAATGCATGATTTGCTGCATTTTTTCCAGACATAGGTTTTTCTTTTGCTCAACTAGTATATTTAGTTTGGATGACTTGTTATTTAGTACACATGAAACATCCATAATTTAATACTTTTGTGTGTTAACAAAAATGTTGAACAAAAATCAGGGGTGGTATTCTGAAAACAATGTTAACTTTTAAGTCAAAAAGAGGTTGTCATCAAATCTTAATTCGGACACGTCACAGTTTAATTTCTGCACAACGCTTGCAGCGAACATGAGCAGCTTAGGGGAGACATCTGTGCAAACACAATCTCAATTTAATGTTTTTAGAATAAAAACAACTCGGTAACAAGGTGAATTCTTTTGTGAAATATTTTAATGTATATCCACTGGTGATACACTCAGCTTAACACATATTAATCAAATTAAATTTGTCCAGGAAAATTTCCCAACCTTTTAAACTCTTTCAAACTTGACTACATGCATAACATTAATACTGTACGGAATCAACTAGAACAGAACATTTTGTACAGCTGTTTCTTTCTTCAGACTCTCTAACAATGGTAGTACATCACAATGCATGTAACAATAAATCAGGCCAAACCGGGCTTATCAGGATGCTAACGAATAAATTTTGGGGGTAATTGTCAATTCATTTTTAAATTCATATGTACTAACTGTATACAAGGAATTATTTGTATCAGATTTTTGGTCTTGTTTAAATGAATGCTTCTAAATGTTGAGAGTTCCACAATGATTTTTAATACATGTGTTATAGATTCATAATCGGCTCTGGATTTATCTTATTAATAATACATGGAGCACTACCACATTGGGTATTGAAGTAACTGCAAGATTCAAGGGAACAAATGACAAATGCTTAATCTAAGTGACATACCAATATTCCTGATGCTTATAAAACACGATTACAAAAGAATCAAATATTAATAGTTACCACAAACGATCAAATCAACTGTAAATTCATAATCCATTTGGTAAATCCACAACTATAATTTCAAGTAATCAAATGCACCTTTTTTTAATTAAAAGGAACTTTTTTGCATAAAAAAGCAAGATTTTCCCTTACACATTTTATGTTCTTGAAGTCGAGCAGTTAACAAGCTTTTCAAGGAAACCTGGTGCTTGTATTTCAATTTGTCTGTTTAAAACACTTTCTAAAACTATCTCAATGCTTTAATTCATTGTATAAAATTCAACTAAACACAGAATCAACCTCAAAATCAACAGCATTTAAATACATTGTTTTGTTTTTCTTCAATCTTCATAATTCATGTTGGCAATAACACATTTTTTTGTGAAGACTGATTACTCCAAGTCTTTGTGAAATTATTCTTTAAAGAATTTCATGACAACAAACAAATTCTGAATACCAGTACATGCATTTTAATTGATTTATAGTTTCTGAATCCGGCTATTAGAGCTCTCTTGATTAATAATACAAATATTGCAAAAATACATTCTAAAATACATGACTCAAATCAATACCATTCATTTTTCAATAAAAAAAAACTGATCAAGGGAGGGTGAGAGGGGGAAAAAGTAAATAATTTTAGTTTTAACCTACAAGCAAAAAGTTTATTCCACAGACTGATGTGATTCTGAGTAATGTTACATTATATACTAGTATAGGTCATAAAAACAAGAATTTAAGCAATCATCAACAACAACAAATCCATAATACAAATATGATTGGAATAATTATGCTTTTTCTCTTTCATTACAACTGCACCCAAAAATGCACTATTCTGAGTATAAATCTTAACATATTTTGTTCAAATAAATCAAATAAGTCTGCCATAGAATACTTTGCAGACATCAGTTCTGTGAATAGTTGCAAAATGACATCAAACATTAGTTAAAACTAAGTATACCATGGTTTAAGTAAAGCATTTGATTTCCTTCATGGAGTGATATTAGCTATAGGTTAGCAATAACCTGGTAAACCTGAATTTCGCTCAATAACGTATGAACACAAGATGTAAAGTTCAATATCAATTTCCATACCATCACAAGTGTTCACTACATGCCTTTACAAATTATATGAAGACTGCACAATTTATGAATAGTTAACTCCTAATATGCAGCCATAGAGTTGCCAATTTTCATCAAGGCATGAGCAAGGATTTCTGTAATATAATTATCATTCATTAACATCCATCCATGATGATTAGCTTCTTCTGATTAGTAGTAACCATACAAGAAATACAAAGTTACAGGCCATAAGGTAATCTTGAGTTCTGAAAATGGCAGAAAATGATATATCAGAGAATCAAAGAAACTGTTATTGATATCTGCCAGACATTTTGGTAAAAATATGTAATGGCTGAGTAAGAGAGAAAAAAATACAACAAATCAAGCTAATTGTCTTGACCAATGTGAACAGCATATATTCTCTTTTTGTGCAAATGTGGGCTGTGCATATCAATAAATGTGACTTCCAGCAAGTTTTGATCTTTTCCTCTAATTTTTTTTTTCCTTTCCATTTCTGTTTACATTTTGCTACACTATAATCAACCCATCCAGGCAATTAAGAATAAGATGAGCCACTTTTTTCTCAAAATGCAATTCCAATACCACTAATGTTACTCAAGATTAAATATTAAAAGTGGAACAAGTCTTGTGCTAATCTAAACTTCATTAGAAAGAAAAAAACAGACTGTCATAACTCCACTTTATGATAGCATAACCTTTATGTTATACATGTACTACATTCCTATTACACATGATGTGTGCATTTACATGTATGCAGTACATGTGTCAAAGTTGTGCAAATTCCCACCTAGTTATGACACAATTCTAATCTGTCTTCATATGACATAATCCTAGCAAAAATCAGCCTGTACAAGTTGATACAATGTCTTGTTAATCATCTTTTCAAATCGAAAAAGAAAAACTGATTGCACTGAATATAAAAAATAATATACAAAATATACAAAAAAACAGTAATGAACATCGTAGTCATAAACTCCTCTTCTACATGATAGTTTCAATATCTTTTGACTTTTGCTTCTGTACATTTTAGCCCGCATGTACAAGCAGATAATACACAAAACTGAGACATCATGGTTAACAAATTACTGTGCATCCATGCATAAACTGACTGCTACATTTCTCTTTTTCAATTCACTTCATAAACATGTCTTTTAATGGCATCTCCATATCGGAAAACATCCTGACAAATTTAATGTTTTTTGTTAAATCATGACAGAATGATTGAATTTACTTTTTAACTTTCTCTTGACATGTAAGCTCAGCTTTGTGATCCCTATTCATGAAAAATAAATCACTCCTATTCTAGACTTTGTAAACGCTAAGAAACAATAAAGACCAACGAGACCATTTGTTTCAGTCTAAGAGAAAAAGTAATGACTTTTGATGCAGAAAAAAGTTTGGTATTGCCCAAGTTAACATTTTTCAACTCTCTTAATTTACAAAGTGTTTCTTACAAACTATTTTCTCTTCATAGTTTCTAAATGTGGGTGTGTTATAAGATTACAAATTGCAAAAATGTAAAGTGAAGTACACTAAACCAAAACAACAACAAAACTGTGGGGTAAACCATGACAGCTCACCAAGGCATATGTGATCAAGCCTTTAGTTGTCTAGATATAACATTGATACATGGACCCTTACTGAGGGAGATACAAATGGTTCGGTACAAACACTTTGAGTATATACATGTACATGAAAGAGAGTAGAGTCTCGATTCTGAACAGTAAAGCATTCACACTATTATTTCATATAGACAGTAGAAGATGATGAAATGCACTGCAACAATTGATATTCTACAGTGTTTAACATGAACATGTACTCGTAGAATAGCATGGAATTATATTCGAAAGATGCAAAATATAAAACATTTGTATAAAAAATAAACTTAGCATCAGGGTTTTACCTATTCTTGGCAAGAACAACTTACGAAAAGAAGGCAAAAATTGCAAATTATTTACAAAATATGGTTGAATTATGGAAAAGTTGGTTCACAAACAACTTTGATCTCAATGCTTCACACTTTGCAAAAGACCCCCCCCCCCCCCCTCCCCCTGGTACCTACACAATGAGCATGTCTTCAAATTTGGAGTAACTACCGGTAGTAATCCTTAGAAGAAAAAATTGGAATGCATAATTTCGCATCTACATGTATTAGTATATTTTTGGGCCGAGCTCGTTATCTATGTTGTGCCTCCCAAATAATAAGGCAGGATGAACCAAAAGAGAACCTCTGCGACAAAACACAGCACATTGTTGTAAGGTCTACAGCTTCCATTGCTATCCTCTTCCTCTCTTTCACTCTTTATATTTTCATCAGAAGAAAAAATTGATATGCCATTCAAAATTAGTTTCATTCTGAGATAGTTAACTTGTAAGGGAATTTTTTTTTCTTCTTCATACAGGGCCATCATTCAATCCAATACTCATGTCAGACTATGTACTCATTTTTCAGCTTATATAGAATACTTTGCCAGCTTCTGGATTTGGTTGAAGCTTCTGGCTTAGTATTTCAAGTTTAAGACGACTTCCTACCAAGTTTAAGCCAAATACAATTTCATCCTGAGCTGTGCATAGTTATATTAGCGTGGATTTAACGTAACATGTTCGTTTCGCATTATTTTGGATTGGTTTTGTGACATCTCAATGGCCATCAGTAAGTATTTTGGCTTTAAGTTGGCTCGCCTGTATTAAGATAGAGTACTTAAATGTGATCTGAATAAGTCTTGAGTCATTTTACTTATACGATTCTAGTAATTAATTGAATACTGGCCGTTTCTTAACTTTTCACCCTCAAATGTACAGAACAGTCCAAAGCCTCCTGTGCCATCAGATATTTTGGCATTAGCTGCTGATTTTCATACTGAATTGTATACTTGTACATGCTGGTGCGCTACATCAAATCTCATCTGGTTCATCCAAGCTTAAAATTTAGACGAATATCACAACTTACATAAAACACATTGCAGGTCTACACAAATTTATGTACGTTTGGACAGAGGTTAAATTTAGAGAGGGCTTACTTAGCCAACTCTTCTATGCATGCATCATTTGAGTATTAAACATGATATGAGTTTCCTTCTTCACACAATCAAACCCTTGAGTTTCTGTTTGGCATACTACAGAAGTGTAGAGTGTGTATTCTCTTAAGAAATATAAGCTCTCTGGTTTGGATAACCAGATGCACAGAAAAAACTGATCAAAATAAAAATATCAAGACACCATATTGATAACATTAAATCCAAACATGTGCATATCAATAATTTCATATCATACAGCAACACACAAATGTGGAAAATGTACCATTATAATGTCCTTTTTTCACTGCACATTAATTCAACATGTGTTCCAGTTTAATAATGAGCTCTACAAAAGTCTAAATGGTAACTGTTTTGTTACAAAACGAAAGTTTCAGACAATTCTGTTGGTCTGCCCAAGAAAAAATGCAAACATGTATTTGCCAAGATCTCTAGATATCTCAACTTAAATCTTTCACTTTAATTTTCCTGTTTTTGTATCAGGACTCACATAGACCTTGATAGATGGGACTATAATCATTGTTCCTGATTTCTATAGAGAAAAAATCCTCTATAAACAGAAATTCTGATATATCACCTGCAAGTGTACCTTGGAATAAGAATCAAGTTATTGATGATCAACAGCTGTAGGAACTTCAAGCAGATCTCCTTCATTACACACTAGACTGAAAGATCATTTCCTATCAGCATCAACAATCTTGAACGTCCACACTTGCCATACATGACTAACTTTCAGAGGGTATCCCTCAATGGTAGGAAATAAAATAAAATAAATCACCTAAGAAAACTGTGATGCCAAAATAAAAGGATATGTTGAATTTCACACACCAAATGCAGTGCAAAATCTTACAAGGTGACACTACAATAAAGAGTTCAGATACATTGCATTCACTTCTTGGTCTTCATACTACCAATCAGGTTACCCATCTGATTCATGTCAGAGATTCGATCAGCATGCTTCATTTTAAGATGCTGCTTGAACCAGGTGTAGTTCCGCGACAAATACCCACAGTACTTGCACTTGAAGCTACTGTAGCCAAGATGCCTTGCAACATGGCGCTTCAGGGAACACATGCTTTCAAAGCGCTTCCTACACTTCAAGCACTTCAAGAGATTGGTGTTGATGAGAGACTTGATGGCACGGTGTTTCTTGGAGGTGTCTGCCGGGTTCTTTGTCGCAGTCGAATGTGGCATGTCTGTCTCGTTGCGCAGGAGATGAATGCGGACATGTCGCTGCAAGGAGCTGAGGTACTGATACCGCTTGTTGCAATTGAGGCATCGCACCAACCGCTTGTCCATCAACAGTTCCAGAGTGTTCTTATCTTCCTCGTCCATCTCGCCTTTGCTTCCTTTTGACTTTTCAGCGGATGTTTTGGTCAGGTCTCGTTTGACCTGCTGAGTCTTCTCAGCACTCGCCTTCTCTCCTTGGGTCTTCTCTGCTTGATTACGAGGAGACACACTTTGGTGGTTCAACCTGGCTTGTCTGATAGGCATATCCCTGCTTGGAGTGGGTTCGGGGCTCTTGCGGGCTCCATTGCTACTCGGAGGGGTCAACAGGATATCCTTGGCTGCAGTACTGTTGACTACGGACTGTTTTGAGGGAGTCTTTGGGACAACTTTGTTCTCTTTGTTTGATTGAGATTTCACAGATCTTCCTCCATTTTTGACAGACTCTTTATTACTTGCTACCTTTTGTTTTTCATTTTCAACATCCTCCTCCTCCTCCTCCTCTTCCCCTTCTTCATCCTCTTCTTCCTCCTCCTCCTCCTCCTCCCCATCTTCATCTTCATCTACTTCTTCTTCCTCATCCTCTTCCTCTTCCTCATTGTCTTCATCATTTTCCTCATCTTCGATTTCATCTTGGCCTTCCATTCCTAATGCAATATCTTCCATTTCTACATCATTGCCATTGAGATCTGATGTGTCCTCAATCTCCAATATCTTTGGTGTCATAACATTATCACATTTGCCTTTCACAGCAGTCATTTTAGAGTCATTCAAGTCTTTAGATTTTTTAGGACTGGGGCCAACAACTTCATCATTGTTGGAACCATTTCCATTCTGAACAAGGTTCACCCAAATTCCAATCTTCATATTCCGGATTGCTTCAGAGATCTGATGGATAGTGCGGAATTGCCTTCCATGTTTTCCCATCATGTGCCTCCTCATCTGAGTGTAGTCATTATTTTCGTAAGGACAGAGCATGCACCGGTATCGATTGAATCCAAAGTGATTGCAGCAATGCTGTTGCAGCCTCCTCATGGTTGATAGCTGCTTCTGACAGCGTCGGCACTTCAGCTTCTTCTCATCCATGATCTGCATGACCTTGTTTCTAGCAATCTCCTCTCGCGAAGGCGTCTGTGGCACGCTGCCGCGATTGAGATCAGAGCTGAGCTGCTCACGACGGTGGATCTCCTTGTGGCGGAGCACATTGCGTCGATTGGCAAAGGTCTTGAAGCAAACATCACAGGTTGGCAAAGAGCTACCCTCACCTTGTTTCATGGCCTCCTTCTCACGACCCTCATGCAGGATCTTCTGCTGTTCCACTTTTCTACTGAGGAGTTCATCAACCCTTGTAGTTGGCAGATGGTGCATTGTTAGCATATGCCTACGTAGGTTGTACACCGACACTGAGCTGTAACGACAAAGAGAGCACTTGAATATTGGTCTCTTGTGGATCCTCATGTGCCAAGCTAATGCTGTCCAGTTCTTGCATTTCTTCTTACAAATCTGGCACTCGGTTGGTTGGCACGCTACAGTACCCGGTAGATTCTTTTCTTTTGGCTCTTGCAGTGGGTTACCCGGATGTACAGCCAGTCCTATAACCTTCTTGGGAGTTCCACTTTTCCTACCTCCGTCGGAATCCTTCCCAACAGGAGCCTTTGGCTCTTCAGAACTATCCTCTTCTTCAAACAGTTCTCTCCTAGTACAGGCTGTGCCACCAAAGCCCTTCACAAGACTATGAAGAGTTTCCCGTTTTTCGACCCGGCTTATTTTGGCGTTCTTTGTTGCCTGACGAATGGCTATCTCACCAACTATCTTTGCAGTGTCGTCTCCCTCTCCCTTTGGAGCAAATACACTCATTTTCTCCAGCTCATCATGATGGATGATGTGATCAGACCTTACCACCTGTTGTTCAATGGCTTCAGTGGTACTTGGGATAGGTCGAAGTATCAGGTAAGCATTGGCATTGCCGACCTCAGAGGACTGATCATTGATGACCGTTGTCACCAAGTTCCTCTTCGGCACTCCCCTCTCGTTTACAGGTGAGCCAGTAGGCGGTTGGGGTTCGACCTGCGGGGCTGCTGCATCTTCGTTGGGGAAGAGATCCCTCATGTTCAGACCCAGGGTCTTTGTGGCACAGTGTTGGTCTATTCCAGAGAGCAACTTACAGTAGGATCTCTTGTGCTCGATGAAGTTGACGAGACCACGGAAGAGGCCTTTGCATACCCTGCACTCATAGATGATATCTGCCTCCTGGAGTAGGATCTGCTTGAGGCTTGGTGTGGCATTTCGGAAGAGATCCAGGACTTGTTGAAGACCCCTCCTGGAAGTGTGCATTGGAGGTAGAAGCTGGCTACTGTCCAGGCCAATCTCTTTGGATCCTGGTGGCTCTACCGTCTTGCTAGCCATTCTGCAGAAGGAAATAATTATAAATAAAAAAAATGAATATACATGTTTATATCACTTATCTTCATGAAATAATTCTTATCATTATTCTGCAAGGGAGCTTTGCTTTTGTCTTTAAATTTGACTTCCCTTATTACAATACATACATTTGACATGATGAATGTATAAACACAAGTTAGGTTAATACATATGTATCTTAAATCTATCAGAATAGTAATTCTATGCATAACATAAATAACCTCCATTCATTCAAGAAAAGAAAAATCCATGCCTTTTTTCCATGCAGATTTTTTTCATGTGAAGAAAAAGAGGAGCTATTGTTTTATGATATGACACAAAGAACTAGATTATTTATTGTTTGCCCAAAGCTTGTAGAAATCCAACACACGTCAGAGATTGCACAAGTTCAATGCACAAGAGAATGATCATGATTATCTGCTATATTAAACATTAAATGTGTGTGGTCACAATTCAGTGGATTCAGCCCTTTCATGTTCATGTGAATGTTGCTTTTTACATGAGTCATGTAAAAAGCAACCATGAGCAGATGCCATGTGTAACAATCCATGTGCAGGCATGTATTGTATTGCACAATGTAAAGAAAATGTGTCTACGGTCACGCATCATGGCTTTGTTGTCCCCTTATTAAAGGTTACCATTAAAACCATTTTTTCTAATAAAACTCGAGTGACTGAATGGTGAATAAATCTATCAGGAAAGATAGTAATATGCAACATATGGGGGGCTCTCAGAGATTATATAAAGAACATGTATGGGATCTAAAGATACATGTATGTACCTTAACTGATAAAAATAACATTAGGTGCATGATTTCTCACAAAATGGTCTTTGAACATGTTTTTTTTAAGGTTTTCCCCACAAGTGCTTTTATGAAACATTTTCATAAAACAAAGACATGGAGGAATATCTCCCTATCATATCTCTTTACAAATTTCATCTGAAACTTTTTGAAATGCTCTTCAAAGTAATTTAGCTTATCAACTTTGTAAAGTCTAATGAAATTTATGGATGGACACATTACAAAGCGCTACAGTATGGCTATAGAAATCGATATTAACGAGCTGCAGCAGCTGTCTGGCACCTTGATGATGATCTTGACTTTAGACCTTATATTTTTTTCTTCTAAATTAACAAGGCCTGTAACCGTCAACTTTACACGGGCGGTTTTGTTTAACCGTTATTTTAATTTATGTGAATTCTCAAGTTGTCGTCTGGCTGGCAGAAGGGCGTTAGCTCAAATTTCAGGTAAAAAATGAAGCGCTAAGCAGAAGGGCATTGGCACTGAATCGCCTCAAACTTTTATAAAACTGACTTATTTCTGAGAATTTTTTTTTTGGCAGTGTTCTACTATAACATTTCTATTACTCTATTAAGATTTAAACCAATTTTCGGGACGGAAAGCAGTTTAAATATAAAACAAATTTTTAAATGCGAATAATTCAAAAAGTATTTTTAGAGTCGCTCGCGCGCTAACGGTAACGCCTTCTGCCAGCTGGGCGACGAAGCATTCAGGCAATTCAAATAAGTCATATCATGTAATCATGTTCATGAACAGAGGCTTAAAACCAAACTCCAAAAACACGTACACACACACACACACACACTCATAAAAGATCTGTCATGATTTTAAAACAATAGGAAAATGAACATCGGCGTCTCCAGACTCGAGACACGAAAACAATCATTATTGGCGGAGATCTGAAAACAATAATTATTGGCGAGACATCGTAGCTGATACTAAGAATCATCAGAAGAATTATTTACTATTATTTGTACCAACATTGATAACTTTCATAAAATATGAACAAATAACAAAAATATATTTATTAATTCTCATATTAAGCTGTGAAAACATAATCCAAGTCTACTGACCTAAAACGACCTTTGACCTTGACTTTGTGACCTGGAATTTGTGTCATATGATGGACAGTTTCATGGATGGAATGAATATTTTCAAAAATATGATAAGAATTCAAAATCTTAACCTTTGGTTAAGTTTTGATGTATATGCCACAAGATAGGCTAAGTTTGTTGACCTGAATTGACCTTTGACCTTGACTTAGTGACCCGAAATTCTACTCACATGATTTGGGATACTTGATAACCCTTTAGGCCAAGATTTATAGAATAAGAACTTATTCTTTCAAAATGATATTAAAAAATTCAAAACTTAACCTCAGGTTAAGTTTTTGATGATGATGCCACAACATACTCTAAGTTTGTAGACCTGAAATGACCTTTGACCTTAACATTGTGACCTGAAATTCTGCTCACATGATTGAGGTAGCTTGATACCTTGTTAGGCCAAGTTTCATTGAATAGAAATTTTTACTTTCAAAATTATATTAAAAATTCTAAACTTAACCTTAGGTTAAGTTTTTGATGTTGACGCCGCCGCCGCCGCCACCGGAAAAGCGGGGCCTACACTGTACAGTATGTCTCGCTTTCGCTATATATATGCAGGCAGGCGAGACAAAAAACTGTTAAACAAAAATCGAAAATTAATCGGGGATAATAAACTGATTGGCGTTAGTGCACCCATCCAAATAATTAAAACTACTAAGGACAAAACGGAAATAAAAATAAATAAAAACACTAACAAACTGTATCTAAAAATGAAATTGGGAAAATGAATCCGCATCAATGCGCTGATCGGTGCCGATGCAAATATATAGAAATTATTAAGAGTAACAAACTGCACTAAAATAACGGTTAAACTGGCAAGAAATCTTTAACAGTTTTGATGAATGCGGTCAATTAAACATTTTGACTCGGGCTTAAAATTTATATTGTGTAGAAGATGCAGAATTTGGAAATTGCCAGAGGTACATGTGTGTATTGAACAGGCGATCGCACAGCCCTACCACGACCATGTATGTAGCGGCAGCGTAACTGGCAATACGTGGTAAATCTGTACAAAAAAGCGAATACAAATTTGCTGCTAGATCATGCAATTCGCAAACTCTCAAGTCACGGCACATGGTAAATCAAGCCAAATTTGGCACCTAAAAAAAAAAAAAAAAAAAAAAAAATGTTTATTTGAATTTTTAAAAATCAGAATATTCTGATTAAATCGGAACAGTTGGCAGGTAAGCTTTAACACTGCAAAAATTTGGTGAAACTTTATTGGGCATTAAAAAAAAAAAATCCAGAAGTGGGTTTTTTAATTTTAACTTTTTGTTGCATTTCAGAAACACTGGAATGTGAGAAAAGCTGACCATTTTTGCAGCCAATGACATACAGTTTACAAATCGCACAACAAAATAGACTTACACATGACACATGTGGCGGCCACATTGGACAGAAATTTTAAATATTCTGAAACTTAGCATGGAATCACTTCCTCCTTCTTTTCCTTGAAAAACTCAAAGGCAAAATTAGATTCCAGAAAGCTTAGTTTGAATCAATTCATTCAACATAAGAATAGACTTTCAAGTGAGAAGGTGACTTAGGTGTTTTTTTTACTTATTTGAATAAAAGTGATCAACAGCAGCAGGTTTTTAAGGAAAACATTGTTTGATGGAACGAACAGGGAAATTTAATTAAATGAATGATCATTTTCAATAAAGGTCTACTGATACATGGTGAGAAGTGTAAAATCACAAGGAATATCCATAGCTAGTAGGTGAGCGATTATTTGTTAAAGTGCTAGTGGTAAAAATATTTATAAAAGTTACAGGTTTTTCAAAAATAAAACTACAACATCGCATGTTCAAAACCTGTTATGTCTAATGTCCCAGACTACACGTACATGTATACAACAATGATTAAAACAAGATACAAAGCAGGGGAGAAATGGTGGAAAAATATAGGAAAACTTTGCAAAAATCATATCAGCACCAAAATTAGCATTACCTCACACTCCCAAAAACCTTCAATTACCTTCAATTTATAAAAAATAAAACCACAAAATCTTACAGAAAAAGAAAAAAAGTGAATTGTCACTTAAAAATACATTGACCCTTTCCTGAAATATTTCTGAGGAACGCACAGTGACACAAGTATCTAAAGTGTTGGGAGCCCTAAATTCACCAAAAATTTGATGGGGAAAATTTCACTTAAAATGTATCAAAATGTGAAAGAGGATGTCATTTACAGACACAATTCTGCAAAGATTCCCCCCCCCCCCCAAAAAAAAAAATAAAAAAAATAAATAAATTAAAAAGGTGTTTGAAGACAAATATTGATAAGAAGAATACATAATTTGGGTTTCTGTTGTACGCAGAAAACCTAAATTTTTAATTTGTTCATCAATACTCGACTTCAAACACATTTGTTTTGAATTTCTTGCAAAAATGTGTCTTAAATGACATCCTCTTTCACATCATGACACAATTTAAGTGAAATTTGCCATCAAAATGTTGGGGCTCCCAACACTTTAGAAGGGCTTGAATTCCATTTTATCTGGGTCAGCTGGAAAAAGGCACTTGATAAAAGTAATCAGGTTTTTCGGGATTGCCAATTTGCTTTTTATTATATCATGATCATTACATAAAATATCAACCTTCAGCAACAGGAAGAGCTATAATGTCTGGTTCATCTGGGAGTGGGAATCAATGAAAGTTCATTGCTGACTGCACCCGCCTGCATCCATTCTGCAACTTACCAGTACCAAGTAAGACTAAAACTAAGAGTAAGAGTCTTGGAGAACCATACTAAACAGTCTACCAAACATCACCCCTACATGTAAACTCAGTATGTGATGAACAATAACAAAACAAATACCAGACACCAAATTCACTCATTTGAGCAATAGTCGGCAAATGAGGCAGGAGCCTGGAGATTACAGTCAGCTCGTACAACACACGCCCATGCACCACAGCCGGTTTATGACTTGAGGCACACACGCAAAATGGACGCTGTGCTCACTCATTAGAACTGCACGCATTGTTTGCCCGTGTGGAAAAAGTCGGCGGAAGCACTCGGCAGACGAAAGAAAATGGCTAAATATCACTCAAAGCGAGCAACCAGGGTAACAGAAGACCGACCAAAGCCGGGACAAACATCCTTAAGAAAACATACTGGTGTTGATGAATTAGCAATCGTCGAGCTCGTATGCAAATTTAGCTGCAACATCTGTCATGTTCGCCATCGTTTTGACAACATTCGACACACTAATTTCGATACGTGCCATGACGCAGTGCGTCAATAGCCAGCCGCCTCGAAACGAGTCGACAACACGATAAAAAACATAGAAAAAATCCTCACATAACTCACCTTCAATAATCAATACTCCCACCAGTAGTAGCTATCGAAAATTCTGCTTCTTCTCATGCGAAAATTTTGTCGAAATTGTTGTAAGTAACTGAATTATAGAACGGAAATCTGGTATCGAGACACGCCGGTTTGACGATGGTTGCTCACTTGGCTCAGTATGGCGCTCGGCCCCTTTCTTCTGTACACGGAGTTGCCGTTTGTAAGAACGGCTTTGTTAGCAAGGTGCGGGGATGTGAGCGCGTGCCACAACGCACTCCGCCAGTATAAGTTCGGCGCTCAACTGGCTCGGCCATTGTGGATGAAGCGTTGCGGCTTGTCGAGTTTCAAAAATTCTCACTCTAAGTCCAGCGGAGGTCGAGCCCGTCTATTTTACTCCCCCTTTTTCCAGGGTAGGGGTACTCATGAAAGAGCAGGGCCCTGTTTGGGACGCATTTGTTTCGAATGTTGACGAAAGCGCTCACACCACTCGCGATGCCGAATCATTGCCTCGGCGTCGCGAAGTTGGCTTATCGTACGATGACGAAGTTTGACCGAGAAAAAAAAATGAACTGCACCCATAAAGAATAAATATTTGCCTTTGAACACCATTATTCTCGTTAAGCATGATGACTTCAACGAATGGATGTTTAAATGTTTAAACAGGTTGGTATTGTTTGGTCACTGAAGACTGAGAATGGATGGCTTTGAAGTTAGAGAGAAAGGAATAGTTTGACCTTCAAGGTTTTGTCACCGTCATTTATCTCCAAATTGTTTCCGCTTTTCTCTTATGTATGCTTAGGTCATATAATGTTTCAGCATTATAGAGACCGTTATTAATAAGAATTATTTGCTTCAAGCCTTCAACTTTAGTGCGTTTCTGTTTTGATATAAATTTGATAATAAGTTAAATAGGCCCAATGAGATAAGAGGTGTGATATATTCTCTAATAAGTCAGAAAGTCGAAGAATTTACAAAAACTAATACGTCAAAGTTAGAAGATACAGGATGCATTAGGTCATTGATCATTAATGCAATAGTTTCGACTAAGTTTGGAAATGGCACAAATGTTTCAAAGTGTGTCTCGTTACGAAAATCGTCTTTCATTTACTTTTCGCCACCCCACCCCATTTTATCGTAAAAACAATCCATGTATCGACTAGATTATACTCTCATCTTGTCCAAATTAATTTCGAGTTAAAGGTTACCTGTTTAAAAAAAAACTCATTATAGTTCATTGAGAAAGAAATATCTTCGGCTGGAAGTCATGTCCGACACTCCGAGGAATTTGGTATAGTGGAACTGAAATCATTCATGCAACTGAAAATTAAAACCGGGGAGGGGGCGGAATGGGTAATAATTCAAGTCATCTTAAATATGTTAGGTATCCACTGATCTCAGATGTTTTTATCACAGAATAAACGGAACTGTTTGGATATATTTTGAGTTTTTTTTCATAGGTGTAATATGCATTTTATTCAAACAACGTATATGCCTTACTTTGAGAGAAGACCACTTTTGTTTCTTGTCATTGATAAACAAACTATATGTCAACAAGTATGCCTATATAAGGAAATGAGTGGAAGACATTATTATTAAAGTATTAAAGTATAGAGTTGATTTTGCCCGCCCCCCCCCCCCCCCCCCCCATTAATCACTATTCCCCACGAAGTCAATTTTTCGCTCTTCATGACGATCAATTGGTTGAAAGGGGCTGTTTCCAACGCTCCATTTTGTCCACTACCTCCACATTTCAGTGATATTACATTTTACACGTCACTTCCGCTCCAAAACATCGTTCCAGCCCTCTTACAAACCGCCAATCTCGAATATGGCCCAATATCCGCCCATTGCCTAATGTTCAATATCCGGCACCAATTGATAATAGAGCGGTCTGTACAATATAAAGCTTATCCGCACTGTTGCAAAAATGTACATTATATACACTCCAAGGGGACGGAGTGGGAAAGGGTCTCGCCAAATAATTTTAGTTTAATTCCATATATGTCTCCAAATGTTGTGTTTGCCCCCCCCCCCTTCTACATTACAGATCCAATAAATGGATTAACAATGCCGACCACTATCTTACAACCATTAGGAAATCCACTGCCCTGTGTTTAAATGCAATTTCTCAAATACTACGCCACGCCAAGAATGACAGACTTGAGGGATTATTACTAAAAATGCATCATGTGCAGGGAAGGAGTAGATTTCATGGATAGAAGCATTTTTTCCTCGAAAACGTCACTTTAAGAATAATCATGACACTGCACATGCGCCACCAAACACTAGAAGTATAATTTGGTATCCCCGCAGAGCCCCACCTTGGCTTCCGAAAGATGTTTCCGAATTTCTCAATTTCCTTCTTTCTATTATTGTATTTCTTTGTAGGGCAACAGCACACATCCAATTATGAAATATTATCAGCATCAAGGCATGTACATGTGCATACAGATTTCCATTGTAAAGCTTGTTTGCAAACAGAGCGTCTCACCTCAAAAAGAAGCATAAAATGTACACCTCCAATATTGAAGACGACATACTGGGTTTGCCACCGTCGGCAAATGGTCTGGCATCCCCTCCCCAAACTTGGTCTAGCAGCGTCTCCAATAAAAAATTAAAAAACAAGGGACAATTCGTAAGAGCTGATATATTAAAATTTCAAACGATGGTCGTTGACATTTACTATTATTTTTTAAAGACAACCGTAAACCGTTGCCCACGTAGGGTTACTTGTGCGCTAAATCATACGCAGGGAGCAGTGGCGTAGCTTCAAAGGGCACGGGGGCACGTGCCGCCCCCTAACCGAGTGGTGAATAAAAAGAAAGGAAAGCGATAAAAGAAGAAAATTCAAGGGGAAATTAAGATAAAAGAAGAAGCCTAGACCATGAGGCCACATCCCGCATCCCTCGCCTAATCAGTTGCATTGTAAATTCGCGTTTCATTTTTCCGAGTAAGACCTGTACCGCCCCCCCCCCCCCGAATGAAAACAAAAATCTCATTTCCCATTCGAAGGGTAACTCAAGCTACTTTGTATCCTGTATGTATCCGTCTCCTAAACAGAAGTGGTCTGAATAATTATAAATCACGCGCGTTTTTTTGTTTTTTTTGCAAGTCAACCAACCAACTCACATTTCTGTACCTTAAAACGCAGAGCTTGGTGAACTCGCAAGTCCTTTGTAACACGCAGTTGCCATTCATTTGCCATACTCGACCCGGGTGATGTAAGTGGGTACCTACTACCTGGAAGGATTCTTCCTTGAAATGCATTTTGCCTTGTGAACGGGTCACCGGAACGAAATCCGGGGTGTGGCACTTACGAAAGCTCTTTTGAAGCGCAAATAACGTCATAGCATGTTATAATTATGTGCTACATAACAGAATAATACAATAATTATTGTGATCATCGCTTGACAGCTTGATAATTTCCTGATGGAGGCCAAAGAAACTGTTCGTTCTTCAAAGTCGAACATCATCACCAATTACACGGTAATATAAGGTTTCCGAGGTACTCACCAATAAATAAATATCCCCCATTTTCGTTTTAGCCACTGTTAGGAATATGAAGACCCCAGGAATCCTTTTTCATTCTTTTTAACCAGTTTTTAAAAAAACTAATAATAAAAAAATTTACTAGGTCTACTTATACACACTAATATAAACATTAACAATGTATAACGTGTGTACTATCTATATTAGCGTGAGCAATTTTTACATTAGTGTCTTTTATTTCCGTGTCTTTGTGTTCTTAAAACATTCGAGTATTGGTTTAACCTAAATTCTTTCGTACGCTTTAACGCTCATAGTTTCAACTTAAGATATAACAATTTTCATAATTGTCACGTATCTTTAGATCTTCCCTAAGTGGTATGAGACACATTGTGACATTGTAAATGTATAACTTAGTGAATTAACAGCGGGAGAGGCACATAGCCGATCGTTGCCGCTATTGTGACTATCAGGGGCAGAGAGCATAAATGACTTTCAGCTCAATACCTTGGTAGAAGCAGGGATGGAAGATGTATAGTCGAACGTGCCGTGGTACCGACCAAACCCTTTAAAATGCACGTGTGTGTCGCTGTGGCTTTCTCCACGGATGTACTAAGGAGACTTTCATACCCTAACCTACAGCGCAGCGTGTGGCGTCTACGCGCATTGTCTTGGAGCTGGTTTTGAGGTGGGGTGATACGTCTAAGGCAGCGCCGTTTCGTGAGGTTTTTTACTCAGCTTTGGCGCGATACAACAAAGTGACTCGTCAGTTTCTACGATTGTGATGAATCTGGCTCTCTTTTACTTAACACCTGGGTTGTAAATATATTGTAAATATACTAAATGCATATATTTATACTGGAGGCTGTAGCTATTTTCTCGCTTTGCCACTGTGACCCTCCCTTTCTCGCTCTCCGCTCCACTCCCCTTTCTCACACCTCTTTTCAAATTCCGTCTCACTCCCTTTCCCTCTTTAGTTGTTGTTTATTTCTCTTTCTCTACATCACTCACCTCTTTTATTTCGGTAAGTCTCCCGATCCCCCTAGCTCCCCCCTCATCCTCTCTCTCTCTCTCCCTCTCTCTTATTTTCTCCCTCCGTCTCATTTTCACTCCCTGTGTAATATCTTTACCTCTCGCTCAATCACCACCTCGCCTCTCTTCCTCCGTCTCCCCCTCTCTTTATCTCCGCCTCCCTCTGTATCTCTCCGTCACCCTTCTCTCTCTCTCTCCGTCTCCCATCTCTGTCTCCTCGTCACCTTCTCTCTCTCCGTCTCCCCTCTCGCTCCGTCTCCCATCTCTGTCTCCTCGCCACTTTCTCTTTCTCCGTCTCCCCTCTCTCCCCGTCTTCCCTCTCTGTCTGCCCGTCACCTTCTCTCTCTCTCTCTCTCTCTCTCTCTCTTTCTCCCTCCCCCCCTCTCTCTCTCTCTCTTTCTCTCCACGCCCCCTCTTTCACTCTCCCTCCGTTTCATTTCCCCTCTCTTTACTCTTGACCAAACCTCTCGCTCGCTCCCCATCTCGCCCCCTTTTCACCCGTTTCCCCCCTCTCTCTCTCTCTCTCTCTCTCTCTCTCTCTTTCTCTCTTTCTCTCTTTCTCTCTTTCTCTCTCTCTCTCTCTCTCTCCGTCTCTCCTCTGTCTATCCGTCTCCCCGTCTCCCCTCTTCCCCCTCTCTCTTTCTCTGCCAGTGGCTGTCAGCATCCGTGTCCCGTTGCCTGTACGTCAAAACACGTTTTAACGAAAATTCTTCCATTCCTAGTTGGTGGGAGAACAAAAAGGGTACGAAACGGCAACCCTTGTCTTCAAACGAGTGATGTAGTGATCGGCTGACGATTCGGGTCTCTTCGGAGAATTCGGCATATCATCTG